GCCGATTGAAACATAATATACACCATCTCATCGTTATACACATTGCGCGTGTACTCGGCCTCCTCGTGCTCGACCTTCAACGTCGTTGTCCCCCGCCCCGCGCACGCCGCATCAGCGAGCAGCTGAGCCTGGATGCACCGATCCATGGCGCCAAAGAGGAATGCCGCGCCGTCGACGGTCTTTCCCACGGTCAGATGGCCGTGGTTGCGTAGAATGACGCCCTTGGTGTTTCCCAGCGCGGCAGCAATCTGACGGCCCTCGTCGGCTTTGAAGGCGATGCCACCGAAGCCAGAGTAAATACCGTGATCGTTGTAGAAGCTAAGGCGAAGAGGAGAGGTTAGTGTCTGACTTGGGAATGCCCGTGCGCTGAAGCGTCTGATCAACACTGGGCAGTTTCGCTCATAACTCTCCCTGCGAGGCTGGTGGGCAAGTTGACCTACCGACACGCATCCTGGTTGATGGGCTCGAGCATGCATCCGAGACTGGAGAACGCCTTGCTCGGCACGCTGTGGCAATGCACCGCTGCAACCACATCCGGCCTCGCTTCGTGGACTGCTGAGTGGATGACCCAGCCTGCAGGGTTGACGCTGTGCATATTCCCGCCCTGCCCGTCGACAATGTCGCCCTCTGCCCGAATGAATCAGCTGTAGTCTGGTAGTCCTGATCTCCAGCAAGAAGCGAACACTGAATTTTCACCACAACAGATAAGATAAACGACTTACTCGGCCCCATCAACACCAGATCCTCGGGCCTCATCCAGCTGAAACTCCGCCCATGCGGGTTAATCCAGAAGTGGTCCGGAAGGATGGGATCGCGGACCGTGACGTGTCCGCCCGCCCCCTCGTTATTATACCCCTGGTACCCGAGCCAGCGCAGGGCAGCCGCATGGTGAAGTTTCCGGAACGCGCGCTCCGATTCCAGGGATTGGAATTTCGGATACCGGATTCGCGTCACGGGTGTGGTCCCCGTGGTTTGGTACGCCCCAAAGGTAAACTCGGGAGAGAAGTTGGGAGGTTGCGGTGGCGGTGTGTGAGACGTCGGAACATGCTGAGATGCGACGCGTTCAGATGCAACTGCCGCTAACGGCGACTTTTGAGTAGTCGAGATTGTGCGAGCACGAATGCGCGAATGCGCGTGTGGCAGCGACAGCGATAGCGGCAGCGGTAGGTTTGTCCTATGTAATCTCGTTCCCGCTCTCAGGACTGTCAAGTTGGTCGATGCCATGGTGGCGGTCGTTACGATCTCTGACCAGCCAGACTGGTCGTACTTGTAGTGCAGGGTTAAGTCGCCAAATCGCCACAAATCAGCCGCATAAGCTTCTGCCTCGATTTGCCTCAATAGCCTAGATATACAATACAATGCGCTGCTCGATTGAGACACAGTTGATAAGACATGCAATAATTACCTAGGTAACCCGAATCCTGCAGACTGGACTGTCACGCTGGCTCGCCGTCCATTTCCCCGCAAAAAGCCAGAGTAGGCAGGGTCGTCGTTGCGGGGAAGCGAGCACACACACGGCTGTCCATCCGAGGGAGTCGAGGGACAGAGTAAATGGGTCGACAGGGTACGAGTACGAGGAAGCTCGTACGGAGTAAACTCTCCAAGGATCGTCATTCGAATGCTTCTGACCTACTGCAACTCGCACTCGTACTCGTACGCTGACGGGTCCAACCGAACCCAACACACCCATTGGCCGGTTGAGAGGAACTACCGCTGTATGTAGTCCGTACTGCGAACCCCAACTCGACATACAGTAGCCCGTACAGGATCAGTGTGTGTGTCTGTGTGTGTGTGTGCTCTGGTCGGCTCCTCTATAGGTAACTAAGTAGGTCAACTCGTACTGTACAGTTAGTTGCCGTGTGTAGTGGGTGCATACCTACCTGAGGTACTTAGGGGTGTCAGCCTCGCTGGTGGAGCGCTTACTTACCGCGTGGCCAAGCAGTGTGGGTGTGGCGTATTGGGAAGTCCGCTATCACGACGTTAGGACTCCATACTCCATACAGTATATGTCGTGCATTATTTTGTGTGTGCGGGAGTGCTTCCCCTCGATTGTGAGCTGCCAACAAAGAATGATCAGCAATCCTGTGGATGGGGTCAGCAGCACGCGGTCACCTCTGCGTAATCCAGTTCAAGTCTGGAGCCAGCTTTTCGATCTCCTTAGCTACAGTAGCTCTCCTGGTTGACCGTCGACTACTGCAACAGGAATAGAAGACCCAAGCATTCGAGGTTCAGATGGGTCAGACCGCCGAACCCAGTGGTAAGTCTGGGAATATTGAGCTTTTACACAGCCATTGGGAGCTCGTCAACGGTATGACTCCATTGACACCTATGGTACTCTACTTTTCCACCATTGAAGAAACACTACTCCCAGCTTTAAACGGGTGATGATACCACCCACGCTTGGAATCCTCCCAGACTTGGTTGATCTTGGTCATCTCAAATACCGTCCCGATGTCCTTTCCTCTTTGGATCAAAGAAACAGAAATGACACTGTCCCGTCTTTCCCAACCAGATGCCCTACGTGACAGCTTCAAATTCCCTTTCTCTCATCCCCGTCTGCCGTTCTTGCGTTGACAAGTCGCAACCACTGTTCCATACAATGTGTTGGGCATCCCTGTTACCGCCGTTCGAATCGAGTCGAGTCGAGCCTGTATCAGAGGCTTCCTTCCCATTGGTTGCTCGATATCGATGACCACCGATGGCAACGGCGATTCTCAGCGGAAGAGGTCTGAGTCCTTTGGGAACATAGCTCTTGTTCAATAACAGTGGATGGACTGTATTCAAAAGTTGGATGGGAGCAACGCCAAGCGCAGTGAAGTTATGAATGGTAGTGCGCAGATCGGCAAACACGACATAGGTTCAGCCACCCCGGCCAGGGTAGACGACGTGCTCAGACTGAAAGGCGCCGTTGATGGGAGTATGAGAGTTCTGGATCTTGGAATGACTTTAGCCAAACTTTCAGATCATGCGGCGCGCTGTGTGTCACTGCCGTCAGTGCTTCAGCAGGGCGATAATTTCAGGCGACGACCAGTCAGCTGAATGAAGCCCCAATGACACCCCTGGCGAAGGATCTGCCGCCAGGCTCTACACACATCACTCGGACTCACAGAAAGTTGGTACTCACAGCAACGAAGATGGGGGAGTAGAGAGCTGTAGTCGGATCCGAGCGAGGATCGGCAGGACTGTCATTGGATTGCTCCAGCCTCAAGCACCAGTCTGCCCGTGACTTCGGGCTTTTAAAGTGCATTACAGTTTGGGAGCATGCATCTGGAGCCTGCCTCCACGGAGAAAATGCTCGCTTTTGTGGTATAACGAACCATATTGCTTTAGGGTAAGCGAGGTCCGATCTTCTCCATGCCGCCCATGTGCCTTCTAAGCACTTCAGGAATGATCACGCATCCCTCATCCTCCCGCCAGCCGTTCTCAAGAATGGCAGCGAGGACTCTGGGGACTGCTAGAGCCGTGCCGTTGACGGTGTGTGCGAATTTCTTCCTGGACCCATCCGGCTCCAATACCCTCGTGTCGAGTCTGCGGCTCTGATAATCCGTGCAGATAGAAGCAGAGGTGACTTCACCCCATCCTTCGTCACGTTTCTTCCGTGATGGAAACATGGCTTCGATGTCGATCTTGCGATAAGCGCTGGCGCCGAGGTCGGAGGAGGGCATCTCGAGGATTCGGCATGGCAAGCCCAGCGATGAGACGATTTCAGTCTGAATTTCAACCATTTCATTTAGAAGTCGCCCTGCGTGTTCGACCCAGCTTGCCTCGTCTGTGAGACCTTGGTTGCTTGGTGCTGCAGAATTGGTCCACGCGAACATTTCCACCTTTGTGAACTCGTGCACTCGGTATAGACCCTTCGTGTCGACGCCCCGAGCACCGGCCTCGGCGCGATAACATCGACTGGGTCCCACCAGCTTGATGGGCAGTCGATCCGCAGGAATAGCTTTGTTTGCATACATGCCAGCGAGAGGGATTTCGGCCGTTGCAGCAAGACTCCTGGTCGGCTTTCCCTTGTCTCTCTCAGAGTGGGCCACCTGCCAGATCTGTTGTTCGTCGTGCTGATCGCGAGGTTGGAAGCCGCACGCAGCCGCCATGTGAGAATAAACCAGGGACGGCGGAGACACCACGGACCAGTTGCGTTTCATGGCGACAGACATGGCGTGTTGGACCAACGCTTGTTCCAGCAGGGCAGCTTCGTTCAGTAGGTAGTAGAACCCCCATCCCGAGGTCGTCGCCGCGGACGAGAAGTCGAGCAGTCCCAGCTTTTCACCAATCACTGAATGGTCGGCAGAACGGCCGTACTGAGGAGGATTCTGCGGGTCGTAGTTGATGTAGGATCGCAGTTTCGGTTCGCCGTCCGTGGGCGTCTCCGAAGACGTCAAATTCGGCAGAGACAGGGCCATTGTCTGTGTGTCAATTTCCAACACATCCTTTTCAGCCTGCAGTTTGTCCACTTCCGGTCTGAGTTCTTTCATCTGCGCGACAGTCTCGGACTTGTCCCCTTTCGAAGCATTCAGCTGCTTCTGCAACTCCTTCAATGTGTGTCTTGAGCCACCCATGCGCTGGTCGAGCTCTCTAATCTTCAAGGCATTCTCTGCCACTCGCCGCGGGATATCCGTATGGTTGCGGTAGTTTCGCACCAGGGTATTCTTTTCGTAGAGCTCGACATTTTCCCGGATTTGGGTGATGGGCGGATATTGTCTCGGAGCTGTCGCTGGGCGTGATTCTTGAAGTAAAGGGAAGGACGTGCTATAGCTTCTTCTGCAGTGAAGCAGGAATTTCCTTGCTTCCAAGGCTCTCAGAGACATTGAGCTGTAAGGTACTCTCCACATGCTGCAATCGTAGGTAAGAACGCGACGACGCGTGTCAGGAAAATTTAACCGCATCTAACCGCGGTTAGTGGGGACATAAATAAGTTTTCATATATTTTGCAATCGGATTTTTGACCTGATATGGTCCACGAAACGCACACAGAAATGCGCTTCCCCAACACCCGGATGGGTGGCGTGGCCTAATGGTAAGGCGTTGCTTTCCGGTCATCGGAACCTGGCAAAGACTGTGGGTTCGAGTCCCATCGCCATCGACATCTTTTTGCTACTTGGACATCATTCTCGTTTTGCTACTTGGACATCATTCTCTTTTTGCTAGTCGATGGAGACCACAGTATCTGGTGGTGCAATTCCTTTACTGACAAAGTGCTTGACCAAGCAGATTCGCAACAACAGACCCTTTTCTATCACTCGTAGAATCATTCACGTGCGTGTCTACGCTTCCCGTAAGGAGTCTTCGAGGCATCGGCTCATCATTTCCGCAGCCCAAATCATCAGTGCGCCAGCCTTGTCTCGGGCCGACACTGAATCGGAACTCCCTCAAACTCCAACCTTCCCGTTAAAACAGTCAACTTCTATCCTCTCGTTGGCAGGCGATGATGTCCGTTGAATGGGTACGTATGTAACGTCCCGAGTATCGTGACGGTGAGCGCTGCGTTTCACATTCTCGGATTCTCATGACGACTGGCCAGATAGATCATCAACTACTGTAGGAGCTCAGTTGCATACATGAACCATCGGCTGTCCAGATCGAGTTTGGTCGCGCTGTATTGAACGGATCGGTCTGAGGATGCTTCTATTACTGCGACCGACTTATGCAAGCACGTTATTAGAGACACTTGCCACGATGTGTACCGCACAGGGAGTATCCATGAAAATGCACGATTGTCCAGCCCTGTAACCCAGTTGACCCTTCACGTACAGTACATTCATCCATACCAAGAGCCGCCTAACGCCGACCATATCCGCCTTGATTGTAGCCATTGCCTCCATGATTTCCACCCCAATTGTCTCGTCCAGGTGGGCCTCGCTTCTGACCTTGATAATTCCCATCACTAAAGCTTCTTCCATCATTTTGCTGATAATGCCCGTTGCTCCCGTATTGGGTTTGTCCCTGGTTTCCGCCATAGTACCCATTCTGGCCTTGGCCACCATTTTGTCCTTGATCATACCCTCCATAACCCTGATTGGCGTAGTTGTTGTACCCTGGGTAGCCGTTCGACGGTGGAGGAGGACCACGATTGTATGCGTTCTGAGCACCAAAGTTTGGCGGCGGCGGTGGTGGCATTCCGGGAGGCCACTGGTTGGGAGGTGGCATCATAGGGGGCCCACTCAAAGGTGGACGATCGGCGGCGTAGTTGATGCGCCCACCTCGATTCTGGTTGTCCATGGGATCGCGTCGAGTGTTGTCGTAAAGCGGTGCACCACCAAAGTCTCGTCCGGAGACCCTGGCCTTTGATCGAAGGATTGCCAAATCACTCTTGTCTAGGACAGCCGGAGGTAGGACGACCCCTGGGAACAACATGGATTTGTGGACATGCGTTGGAGGCGGCATGACGAAGAAGACGCTCATAGATCGATCGTCATCGACGTCGGGGTCCAGCCTGATGCCGGGTTCTGGGCCTACCAGATCCATGTGAGGCAGGAAGTCTTCATTCTTGATCACATCTCCCGCGAGTTGAAACTTCTGCATGGACAACTTCACTGTCTTGGGAGCATCCTTGGCCTTCTTCGAGTAGAATTTCAACGCCAGTTGTTCATAAAGTGGATTCTGTTCCGAGATAAGCAAGGCATCGTGTCCGCGCTCATTCCTCGCATGCTCATCGGCAGTGAGGAGCGGATATTTAGTGGCCATGGCTTTCAACAGACGTTTCTCGTCAATGAAAGGTAACAAGACGATAGCCTTCCAGGATTGCTTTGCGCCATTCAGATCAAGATCGAATTCCTCGGGATAGAAGTCGACAATGTCAGAATCTGGCTCGGTCATCAAGGGGTGGAAAGCACTAGGGATGGCATGGTTTGACGACGCAGGTAGCACGCCCATCAACTGTTCGTATGGTTTGAAGGGCGTTCCCTTTTCAAATTTGACGACCTTCTTGTCAATATCGACAAAGTCTGCAGCGAACGGGGCGTAATGATACGGATAGTACCACGTCCAAGAAGGGCATCCTTGGAAATAGTACAGAAGCACCCACGACAATCCTTCGACGTAGGCTTCGGCAACCTTGTGGCGGAATTCGATGTCGTGAGGCGAGACATGGAACTTCTGCTCGTAGTACCGGTCGCTGTAGCCTTCCTCCCACAACCGAACTGTATCTGGTGGCGGGTTGTTGGGATCGGCATTGTTGAAAGTCTTCTTCTCGATGGGGGTGTTACGCCCGGGTGTGCCATCAGTCTCTGGCTCGTCGTCCATCAATGCAGCCTGTCGTTTGCCGAGTGCCGAGGCCGGGGTACCGGGATCATCGGATTCCGCCTCCATTTGCGACGCACTTCGTTTGCCCAGAACTGCTCCAGCAGAGCCTGGAGTTCCATTGGCTCCATCCGCTGTGTCTTTTGTGGCGGTCTCAGCAGCAGCTTTCCTGGCGAGCATTTGCTCCTTCAGCACGGCCGCAGCGCTCTTATTCGAAGTAAGTGTTTTGTCCACGGCACCTCTGTTCACAATTGAGTTGTAGTCCAGCGTTGGGAAATTGGTAGCCTCGAACGTCTGCATACCAGTTGGAACACGAGCATCGGCAGCAACTCTGCTGCCTTTGGTGTAATCTGGAGAGCTCCGACGTCGCTTGTTATTACGAGCGTCTCGGGCTTTGTTCGCATCGTTACGGCGTTGGTCCCTTATTGCTTGCTTGTCTGCGGCCTCCTTTCTGCGCTTGAAGATTGCATCTTCTTGCTTGGCCAGACCCTGTAGGATGATCTGTGCACGGGCAAGATCGACCTTGCCGTCGCAGGTCAAGTAGCCGCCCATGAGTGGGATATTGTCTCTCCAGATAGCAATGAGCTTGTCGATACCATCCTCTTTGATATCCAGACTGGGAAGATGGGGCAGGAAGTCATTGCCGACGAAGAAACACATGAAGACCCAATCGTCGAGGGCGCGTTCGAGATCAAAGCGAAAAGTCTGACCGGGCACAAACATCTCCGCACCGAGATACTCACGCAGTACGGGGACGTTCAACCAGATAAATGGCTTCAGCTTCTCCACCGTGCCTTTTTCATCGAACTCGCCCGACTTCTCTTTGGCTTCACCTCTGCAGTTCTCGGCATAGTGACCTTGGCGACCGCAAATTCTGCAGGTTCTGGCCTTGGCATCATTGAGGAAGACGTCTTCTCGAAGAACACGGAAGTGAGGCTCATGTGTAGCGATACCAAGCATGATCAAGTCTGCATCGAGACCGTACATGACGTGTCTCGTGTTGGGATCATATGCGGGATCTGAGCGCTGGGAACGAATGAATTGCATGATCTTATGCTCACCTTCACCTGGTACACTGGCGTCGGAGATCACGACCTTCAGCTGTGCCCAGGCAGGATCCGTATTGAGTTTCCATTGGACCCAGAATCGAATGGATTGAGCAAGGATAAACATGAAAGGCGTGCCAGGTGTGATGACATTACTGTCCCATGTTTTCTTGACTACCTCTTCCACCGTCTCTGCTTCATCATCATCATCGTCATCATCGTTGTTGTTGCTGCGCTGTTGGCGTAGGAGTGTCTGAAATTCCGCCTTCTTCTCGTCCGCCTCTTTTGCATCTCTCGCCGATCTGAAGCGACGCGCACGTTGTTGGTTCATTTTGGCTCGAGGGGCAACGCCATCTAATTCGTGTCAGCTGGCGAACTAGATAAATAGCACACACGTCTTACCGATGGCAATCATCAACAGTCTTCGAGGTCTAACCATGTTCACCACGCGGTCGGTGTACTTGAAGATCTCCAGCATCATCTCAGTCTCATTTGCCGGAGGCGGCTTGTCCTCTGGATGAGAACAAGGATGGACGATGCCATTGAAGTCAAGATACAGATTGTGAAATTCTTCTCCATTAGGATTGGGCTTCGTGGTGTCCACGGGATACTTCACGCCATCAATGTCGACGGGTTGTTCTTCGATCACGGGAGTGATAATTTTGGGGTATTTCCTAGTGAGCCATCGGAAAAGCGCTGGGACACCCATCTTGACTCGATGGCGGTCTCAGAGAATGAGAAAAACAAGGGGGGAAAAGTCTGCGAAAAGCCTTCTGGGAGGGTTTCAAGTCACGCTCCCTGCATGGGGCGCGCGGTCGGAGAGAAGACGGCACTAGCGTCGAGAACAGTAGGGACTCGAAGCTACGATCAAGGGTCGACTCAGCATCAACGACACGCGTTAAGCTGGACGAAAGAATGAAGCGAGAATGGATGAGAGTGACTGAAGGAGTTGCCTCGAGACGAACTGCGATTCCGAGTCTTCCTTTTCCAGAAATGGTTAGCTGGGCCTTGGCATAGATCTTGCTAAGGCGGCAAATGGACGATAGTCGATCTTCACGGCAAGAAGCGATGTTCGAGGAGAGGATCAGCCATCCACCCACCGCAGCGGCATGAATGAAGATGCATCGCTGGGCTGAGCATGCCGGCACATTCCCTAGCACCTTTGGCTGGAAATACCTCGCCCCGAAGCACGTCCTCATGCCAGGCCCACGTCTCGCTTGGAGAGCCGTTGGAGAAACACCTCTCAAAGACGAAGATAATACTCCGTACGGGCTCGCACTCGGCCAGGCCATGCGGGGACATCTCCAATACATGGCTCCTACGAGGCCCGCCACAAACGCCCCTACGAGAGATTCAAACATAATGTTGCTCTGACCCGTACAGGTAGGTAGGTTCAATCACGTTCGTCCCGGAACAAGCAAACCTCAAACATGGGAGACAAAACCGCACCCGCGCCTTACAGGCTGTCAGAAAACCCGACCTACGGATTCGTGGGGATCGGCGTCATGGGATACGGCATGGCGATGAATCTCCGCGCCAAGATCCCTCAAACCGCCGGGTTCGTGCTGTGTGAGATCAACGAGGCGAGAAGGGAGCAGTTCATCCAGGAGTGCAACCTGCCCGTCGAGGTGGCGCATTCTCCGAAAGAAGTCGCAGAGAAGGCTGTAGGTGAGCCACCAGTCTACCCTTCTGTAGCAGGAGATCCCCCAAGCGCTTTTCTTCTATGGACAACGGGGTTATTGCCGAAGCTGAGAAAGAGTGCCCATCACAATCAATAGGATATCATCATAACCATGCTACCGCGCGCACCTCACGTCCACGAAGCCTTCACAAACCCCGAAACAGGCTTCCTCTCCGGTGTCTCTCCCGCCGCCGACACGGCCCCGAAACTGTTTCTTGAATGCTCGTCGATTGAAGTATCCACGTCAACCACTCTCGCGCGTCAAATCCACTCTCAGAATCTGGGTGTATTCGTCGACGCCCCCGTCTCCGGTGGTCCTCAGGGTTCAAACGCCGGTACATTGACCTTTATGGTCGGAACCCCCAGCGAGGAGATGTTCAATGTGGTGAAGCCGATCCTGGCCATGATGGGTAAGGAGGACAACATCTACCAGTGTGGAGGACTGGGCGCAGGGTTGGCGACGAAGCAGTTGAACAACTATCTAGGTTATGTTGGTTACTTGGGCTTATGCGAGGGTGAGAAGGCTCCCCGTTCCTCCCTCCTTTCCGTTTTCCGAGCTTTGGAGACGCGAGACTGATAACTCCATTCTCGTATAGTCATGAACGCCGGCTTGTTGTACGGTCTAGACCCGAAGGTCCTGTCGAGTAAGCTGCGCTCCTACTTTTGGTTTTTGTCTTGCCCTCCCCCCTCTGACTTTGCTGTCTAGACGTGATCAATGCTTCCTCCGGCATGAATTGGAACAGTCTCCACCACAACCCGGTGAAAGGCGTCAACCCATCCGCCTCCTCCGCCCGGGATTTCAAAGGCGGCTTCACGACAGAGTTGGCCGGCGGTGTCATCGACGACGCTGTGTCTTTGATGGATTCCGTGGGCGCCGAAACCGTCTTGGCGGAACGCGTGAAGAAAGTGTTTGACGAGGCACGGAAGAATGAAAAGTGTAAAGGTATGGAAGCACGGAGTGTGTGGAGGTTGTTTGCCGAGGATGCGGGACGAGATGTGAGGGATCTGTAGGTTGTGCTCGGGGACGCTGGTCCGTTGGGGGGGAAGAACGAAATGAGAGCTAGGAGACGATTGTTGATGGTGGATAGGGGCAATTACAGTACTGTACAGAGTATCGCTTTTTCTATACTGTTAGACTTTTGGCCGGCGACGCCACCGCTATGCTTTGCGGAGAGGCTGAAGTCGGTAGTGCTCAAAGACAAACCTTTCAGTCGACCTCCTCATCTTCCTCCTCGTCGTCGTCATCGTCTTCTTCCTCATCGCCTTTGGCTTCGTCGCCCTCCTCGTCTTCGTCCTCTGATACCTCCTGGCCAAGATCCTTAAGCTTCTTCTTGTCCGCAGATCTCTTGGCTTCGAGATCTGCGAACACAACCAGCAGGTCGTCAAGTTCCGTCTGCACATCCTTTCGCCGGATCTTCTCTTGTTCCAGCTCTTCGCCCAGCTGCCTGGCCCGGTTCTCTGCGTCTGCAACCCGAGCGTCTGCACGTTTCAACCGCGCTTCCAATGAATCGGTTTTGGCTTTGTACTCTTCATGCGCGGTTTCAAGGTCCTGCACATGGTTGGCGTCGGCTTTCTTCAAAGATGCTTCCAGTTCTGTGATTCGGTGCTGTAAATCTGCAATTTCTGCCGCTTCCCTGTCACGCGCCTTTTGGGCGTGGGCAGCGGCCTCATCCAAGGCACGTCGGTGTTGTTCGTTGAGGGCAGCTCGCTCCCGGGCGGATTCCTGCTCGATCAGTTTGAGGCGCTGCTCGAATCGCTGCACCTCCACCTCGTGCTGCTTCCTTGCTGTTTCAACGGCGGCAAGATGGTCGTGGCGCCGCCGGTTGCTCTCATCTTCATGAGCCCGAATGAGTGCGCTTCTCTCCCGCGCAGCCGCCTGCTGCAATTTGTTGACCTCGTCCTCATGACTATCCTGCAAGCTCTGGTTGATCTGCTTGATGCGGGAGAGCTCCACAGCCGCAGACTCGCGTGTACGACGATGATCGAGCTCCTCCTGTTCCAGCCGGCGTTTGAGCTGCAGGAGCTCGCGGTTGACCACTTCCAAGGCTTGTTTCTGTTCTTCGGTCTGGGCTCGGAGACTATCAACGAGATCCCTTGAGACGCCCTTCTGCACACCATTGCTCAATATCGAGACCTCGAAGTTGGGGTCCCGGTCGATGGCTCGTAGAAATCTGCTGTAGTTGTCCTTGAAAAAGTCGATAAAAGTTTTGTCGAAGAACACTTCTGGGAGGCCGCCATTGCCGGTTTGGGGCAGAACCTCGAAATCGCGGACAAAAACACTCTCTCGAAGCTTGGTCAGTCTGTCCACATATGCTTCCCTCCCGAGATTGCTAATCAGGAGGCCATGTAGAGTGCTTCGGGGGATGGGTGAATCTTTGGTAGAGAACTCGTAGATGATGCCAAGGACAAATGCACACAAACCAGCCACAAGCGGCATTGAGCTTTTCGTAACCTTGACTGCAGCAATGAGCCCTTGCACGGTACTCCCTTCGCTGAGAAGGTCATTGACCGCATCCGGGTCCTCGAATAACCAAATGGTCAATAGCATACAACAGCCCAGTAACGCGCGCTCGTCCTCAACATGCTGCACGCCAGCCACCACGTTACTGGTTATGCTCTGGAGGAATGTAACAACTTCCTCGCCACTCTCTGCATCGCCTTCCGTTACTTTCAAAGCCAAGCCTTTGGTATCCGGATTTTCGTAAAGCAGGTGTAGCAGGAGCACTGCGGCAAACCAAGGTTGGTAGGGATCCGACTTATTTCGAGACCCTGGCGGCTCTAGGAGAACGGTGAGCATGTTAGGAATGGCATCGTCACCCGCTTTGTGTCCGTCAATCGCTCTTCGTAGTACATGCGTCCGTATGCCCGGGTGACCATGCATAAATGCTTCGAGGCATGAAGACGATGCCAGCCGAACGTCAAACATTGCCAGTGGGGCGGGCTCCAACGCCAATTCCAGGAGCGACTCGATCACGTTCTGAGTACGAAAAGCCGCCTTCTCGGGCTTATGTTGTTTTTCGGGGGATGCACGATCGGAATGCCCATTGGTTGCCGGGCTGCTGGGCTCCCTAATCATCACTCCAAGGTCCCCGAACCGTTCTTGAAGAGCATTATTCGCTCGAATAATGTCCCCACATGTCTGAAGTGATTTGGTGCGTACGCTCGTGCTAAAGGCGGGATGGAACGCGATATGTAGTATGATGTCCACTGTAGCAGCCTGCCAGTATGCCTGCTGATTGACCAGAGTTCCTTGTGCCCCTTGGGGAAGAAATAGTTGGATGACTCCTAGTAAGCCCCATACGTTCATGTCCCGTTGCGGTCTCATCCATTCCGAGACACCATCGCCAGAATCTTCTTGCTCGACGACTGCGGAAAGCAACTTCTTGATCTTCGAGATTCCACCCACCTCTCGGAAGTAGGACTGGTTGGACGTGTTGAGGCTGAGTAGGTTGGCCAGTAGAGACAGGCAATCTTGCACGGTGGTGCTGCCGTGGGTCAGGCCACCGTCTCCGTCGATCAACGCAAATATGCGGTCGAATGCGTTCTCGAACGCGACCACCTTCTGGATCTCGGCGGAAGTTGGAGTCAGCGCAACCAACAACACCAGTGCCTCATTTCGGACAGCCTCCCTCCGGTCGTCCAACACGTTCGTTATGCGCGACACGCCGAGAGGAGCCGCAAACACCGCTTCCTGTGTTCGCTGCGGCCGTGCCGTAGATATGTGGGACAAGATCTGAAGCACATATAGCCGCAGATAAAACTCATTCGCCTCAAGCAGGTCCAAGAGAGCGGTGATATTGTCCTGTCGCTGGGTGAATTCATCGGCCAGCCACAGTGTGATATCTTCGGACGCCTCAGGTGATTTCTCATCCGGCTCGAACAACCCCAGTAAAGTCTCCAACACTATTTTGATCGTGTCCCAGTCCTCGGCATCCTTGCGCAATGCCGCGATGAGGTCGCGGAGGGCCCCAGACGCCACGGAGGCAGGATAGAGCTTTGCAAAACTGCGCAGGCCGAGAATTGCCGCCCGGCGGTCTTCAAGGAGAGTAGCACTAGTCAATCGCCCACTGAGGGTCTGTATCGTATCGGTGGCATTCTGTCTGGCAGGCGCTTGGGCTTCGAGTATCCGCATCATCGTGACGGCAGGTCCATTGTCACTGCGGTGGTTTCTTTGTTGCGGGCAGAAGCCTCACAGGGTTTGAGGAGGTATCGGACCGGCCATGCTATCTCGCGGGTAGGACCGAGGCGTCGACAATGGGCTAGGATAGGGGATTGTCTGCCGCGTCTGAGTACTGTACTTCGTACTCCGTATAGGGTCTCGACTTCTGTGAACGCCCTCGACGCGCTCCGTGTTGGTGGAGAAACGACAAGTGTCCACTGCCAAGAGTTTGGGAAAGCGGCTTGTGGCTCACGACCGATTGGGACGAGGGTGATGCCGCCCTGTGCTCACGCCACGTGAGAAGTCCCCCATGATCTCACGTGTAGGGGATTCGAAGGCGCCAGTGGAGGGGCATTGGAGACGTCAGGCCCACCAAAGTACCTAGACCAAGGTAGCCTTCCAGGTGTTCCCGCGCAGTGCTGGGAGAATCCTGAAAGACTCGGTCTCAGCGACGCCGTGACGGCGCCATCAAAGCAGCATTGTACTGTCCAGCGTGGCCACAAAAGCAGCATTGACAAATCACCATTTCCGGTAGGCAGGCTTTGCTCGACCAGGAAGTGGGCCATCTCCTCGTCCTCAAACCATTCTCGAACCGCGAGCTGGTCTGCTCACTGCTCTTGGGTATGTAAGAGTCCCCCACTGCTTTCACCTTCGTATCCTGGGTATGACATGGGGCTAGTCTCTGGTACTGCCGTCTACTGTGGTACTGTCGCTCTTTGGTTTCCCGAATGGTGGTAGCGAAGGTTCTCCCTGTCATGCCGCGGACTGGACCACCAACGGCATTCTCAATACCAATACAAGGGATTGTCAGTCCGATCGACAGTCCGTCTTCTCGCCAACCAAATCACATAAGGCTTTCCGAGACATGATGCGTCCAAATACTGGCGACTTTCACCAGAGAGCCTGGACGACAACCCACTCTCCTTCCTTTTCTCCCCAAAAAGGGGAGGTACACAGAGACACCAGCCCCAGCAGGGGAAGCCGTAACCTCCAAGGCACAAGCAAAAGCTCTCTCCCTGATGGTGTTGCCTGATTGCCTTCAGCATACACCGCCCTACCCCCGCGGGGGACGGCAGGGGGGCCAGCAAGGTAAATGTACAAACCCCTCTAAAGTATCAAGTGGCTATCATGAGGCCTACGAGCTTGAAATCTACAATGCGTGTGGGCGAAGAGCTCACTATCTAGTCGCTCAATATCTTCCTACCTCCAGATCACAGGATACACCACTTATTCTTTTTCGACTTGAGCCACTCACCTGAAGTCTCCTCGTTCGATATCACCTCTTCCGAATTAGCCGAGATACCTATAGCCCTCGATCCGCTTCCCTTGAGGCTCTGCCTCTCAGCCTCGCTCTGGTCTGGAGCCTCCACAGTGGCCAGACAGATGTGTTGCAATCGATGGATGCCGGACTGGGTCTGTCCTCTCAGAATGCCGAATATAGAGGGGATCGGCTTTTCGGAGTCCTTACAGAGGACATCGCTTGTGACGAGGGCGTAGCCGCTGGAACCGTATTGACTCGCTTCGGCTGGGTCGTAATCGGTCGGAATGTCCAGGGAGACACGATATAGAAATGAGCTATGGCCTTGCCGAGACATATAAACTGTCCCTGCCCGGAGCTGACTTGGGTTTACATTGCGCAGCTTGATGGCGGGATACGTGACAACGAGGCCACCAGCACTCCCATCATCTTCTCCATTCGTGCCTCTCTCGGTCAATATCGTCGCGGGTGGATGACGTTCTTTCCGGTTCCAGCCACTGTCAGCCGTAGCGACCAGTAACGGCTTTGACTGGCCGAGGAAAGAGCGTGGAGCCCAACGGAAGCCGTCGATCGTCATCCGGGGTAGGTGGTTGAAGATGATCCTCTGTTCGAAGGACCCGACCATGCACAAGAACTTCTTCATTCGTGCGGCACAGATCCGGGCATCGTCGATGGCAGCCTCTGTCTCTGTCATTTGCTTTCTTTCGGCCGAGCTTGTGGATATTGTTTGTAACCCCTCTGTGTCCAGACGCAGGAGGGTTGCCATGCACACGGTTTCATCTTCGAGCTTAGTTGTTGCCCGGTCTTGAATGGTTGGGATGAGGGGCGAGAACAGGTCGCCCACGGCAGGAACAACGCCCTTGTCCAGCGCAAAATAGAGATTGAAAATGGGCACGACGCTTAAACCGCGAGTAATGCCACAGTAGAACTGCGGGCTCGGTCCATTTGACTCAGCTTGAAAAGACTCATCCTTTATCTCGTCAAGCGTCATCGGCCCATCCTTGAACTGAATCGATAGTTGTTGGGCAAGCGCCCCTTCCTGCAGCGTCCAGAGCCGATGCTGCCAGTTGGACAGATAAATGCGTGTGGCCTTCTCGTAAATGCTGCTCGAAAGAGAGAGATCCTCGAGCCAATCGTCAAGCACGAGGACTCGGTCAGCGCCCTCGTAGATTTCTCTCATCTGGTTTATAGCTTGCTTGCGTAGCTCCTTATCACCCGCAGGCACGCAGAGGGTGTCCATCCAGAACCCGACTGGCTGTCTCCAGGGATCACGGAAGGCGTGAAGCTCCTTTGGGCCATACATGTTGATCACGGGCCTTGGACTCCTACGGGGAACCGAGTAGAGTTTGTCGATCTTCCCCTGAATGAGCCGCAGCTGACATGTAGGGAGCGCGTTCCGAGCCGCGTTTCCTTTCCCGTCGGACCACCTATGGAAAGCACCTAGATTAGCGATACTACCCTGGAAGGCGCACCGAGAGTATAGGCAGGCAGGCGAAGATGACGTACACGTGTGAGATGGCAACATATGGCATTGCCTTCTCCTTGTCGAGCCTGATCACTTCGAGTCCACCATCAGACCAACGAGCCAGCGGTATCCCCCGGTGCTCAACAATCTTGATGCTCTCTTTTGGCATGTCCCAAAACACACACGCCTCCCCGCCGGCGCAACCAGGGGCGTGGCGAGTCCGGTATGCGCTGGCAGCCTTGGCCTTGGCCCGGCAAACCGTCTCTTCGCACTCGCCATGATCATCCTGCGCTCTTGGGGAGGTCATCGCCCCAACATAGTAGACAAAGTCCATGGGTTCATGGGCCAAGAACCGTTTGATCTCGGCCCCGCACCACCCGGATCGTCGTAGCCGATCTTGCAGGATTGCATGGCTGCCCCATTTATACTGGTGCCAGTCCTTGGGTGCCGCGTATCTGAGACGGTATCCGACTTCCTGGAGTGTCCTTCCCAGAAGGCCGATAGAAAGTGCAATATTGGGCCAATTCGGAAGCTCGGCTCCTGTCGTAGCAAGGTATTTGTTGAAGACTTCGACCGGATGGTTCAGCGCCGCCCGGACCTGGTCTAAAATGGAACAGATCCGGCCCCATACAGCCTGGCGGTTTTCGGTACGTGAATACGCCGTATCCCGGAACTTCCACTCATCAATATAGACGTGCAAGGCGGTTGAGTCGACTACGGGGCCAGATTCGGTTTCTCTCACGAAACGATTTTGGTTGACGTCCAGGCCGACTACCTTGAAGATCTCGATGAGACAGCCGAAATAGAGCCAGGTTTGAAAGAAGGCTTGCCATTCCTCAGGGCTTGCTTGTGAGAAGTCCAATGTGTCCAGCATCCGGCTTTTTCCTTTTCTTTCGGGAAAGGATGGGAAATCCCCAGGCTCATAGTCTCCGGCCACGTACATGACAACCGGCGGAGCAGCACCGGGAGGTAGTGGGATATGGTCCATGGTTTTAATAATGAGCACACAGAACGCGAGAACTATATCCCGAGCAGTGAAGAAGGCTACAAGGGGAAGGATATGACTTATGAGACTTCAGCCATGCTGTCCAGACTTACAAAAGTCGCGCAGGCTATTGTAGGGTGGAGGGGCTGCGAGGATGAGGCTCAGAAGTGGCAGCAAATGCTCTCAAATATCGCACCTGTTACCATGTGTTTGGATTCTGTAGAGCCGCTTCACAGCCTCTTTCCTTCCAACCCACCAATTTACCTCGTTGTCATTATTCTTCCGACCTTGCAGCTCGCTTATACGCATCCCACCAAGTTTGACGAGTTCCCCCCCAAAGGAGACTAGCCTTGCCACATAGCCTAAGAATGGCTGAGCCTTCTGCAGGTAGGATGCAGTAGTGTGTACCACACTATGTCGATAGCCTTATACCAAGGGTAAGACTCAGCCCTCCATCACAATTCCAGCCGCTAGCTAAATCCTGGCATTGGTAGTTTGAATACATGCCAGCCTGGTAATTGGTTGCCCTACTTTCATCGCTCCTCCACCACTGTGCACCGATCCACGTGTGACCAGCCTACAGGTGTAGAGTTGTGAGGTTGCTGTAGTTTAGGGTGTGGACGAGAGGTGTTGAATAAGGCCACCAGCACTTGAGCCGCAGGATTAGACCAAGGCTGTTCGGCTGCCCGGCTGGTCTAGGAATGGTGTGGACAATTACAGCGTAGCAGGAGGTGTCGGACAATCTTCGCCCTTCCTCGAAGATCTGGACCCTCTGGGCGTCGTCTGCGCCTTATGGCGAGTATGACAACTTAGCTGGATAAATCGATCAATCAATCAATGAATGATGTGGATCAACCTTATCATAAGGGCGTAGCTCTTCGCTGGAAACATACCACACTCAAAGACCATCAACGGCATTCCTACGAGATTCGTCAAGGGGATTTCACGTCTAAGACAATAGGGATTCAACATGCCACACGACGGCCTATATCTTATCCGTCCGACCACCACTTACCCCGGCTCTGTCCTGAGCTACGACACAACGAGCGATCAGATAGGTTTGTCCGACCTTGACGCGAGCCTCGTGCGCAGGTCGACGTTCTATATTCACAAACTAGCAAACCACGATGCCTATGAGATACACAACACCCACGAAAACAAGAGCCTGCGCGCTTCCAGCAGTGGCATGGATATCGGGAGAGGTGATAGCGACGAGCACCGGAGCTACCGCTGGAAAATCTCTCATAGGTCTTCAATCCTTCTCCTCCGTCTGGCGCAGACCTTTCGGTGCCCCCTTTTACTGACTGGGGGCTTCACAGCTCGTCCGGTGGTTACAAGATCACCAACGCCTCTCACACCAGCCAGCGACTTACAGCCAAGGACATACTCGACATGAATCAAGGTGGCACGGTGCAGATAGGGACCCCCTACCATGGTCCATGGGATCTTCTTAGAATAGACGGTAAGGACTAACTCCCCGCGCCCCCGTCGTGATTTTCGCAAAAAATTAAGAAAAGACCACGGCTCATCTGCGTGCCATTTAGCTCCGGCCAGCAAGCAGAACCAAGATGGGGCAGACGTCCTGGAGGGAAAGTCGGCCAAAGAGTGGCGCAAGATTGCGCAGAAGATGTTCAAGGAGGGCTTGAAGACTATTGAATTCGCATGTACGGATACATGGACTGAACGAACGGCTGATGAGCAGGAGAGCTACGCAGACCTGTTTAGGAAGCATGGGGAGGACGCGGGTCTTGAGTCGTGACGTGACCTGACGGCTCCGGCTTGAATTCTGGGACACACGGGTCATGAGCGGTATCCAGTGTGCAGAGAGTCGTATTTTTCCGGTTCCCATACACAGTCGAGTCAGCGAATAGTATCGGGTGAGTGAGGAAATGATTCAGGCTCCTGCTGGACAACATCATGAGACACCTCAGCCGCAGGCAATCACGGCGCGAGTCTTTTTCCCCACTAGGCTGTCCTGCAGGACAAGTTGTCTCGATCTGGTCGATTCAGTTTCCCACTGGATGGCTCGATTATCCCTATGGTGAGAAACACGCTCACCGGTTTCGGCACTGACGACTTGAAGGAAACATGTGAAGAGATGCATGTGCTCAGAGCATCCTCCCTCATATTTTAGCCTTAAATTTTAGTCTCATGTACGACATCGCAGGAAGACTTTGGGCTTTCAGCATTTGCCGACTTCGTGGGTGCCCTGACGGTGTGCTACCTCCCCTACCGGGGGTACCTGCCCGCGGAATTCGGCTCGATTTGCGGACGGCTGTGTTTGTGGACGTCCCAGAGAGGAAAATGAAATGTAGAATAGTCCTCGTGGGTCAGGTCTCAAGGACAGTTTCGGACGACGATGAGATATGCTGACTGGTGCCCGTCTTGGTCATCTTCAGCACCTGCGTTCAAGCCCCTGCAACCTCTCAAGCCATGTAATCGGCCAGTCCGTTCTTTATCGGATTTGGACAGGGCTCTCTAACGTGGCCGGGAATCCGGGATTCACGCCTGGGCTCTCCGTCGTCGGCTGCAGCCGTGGATGGAAATGCGTAGGCGTCTCGGCGAGGGTGGAGATCAACTCGGTAGGTACATTATCGCCAATCGGTCTTAGAGCATCTACTTTGGCATAGGGGCCACGATCGCTTGGAAAGGTGAGGCGGGGCTGAAAGGTAGCGTGAGTAGATCGGGAACAGATCTCTTCGACTTTTGATGTATTCAATTGCTTTGCTTTACAGCATGACCTGAGACCTTGAGGTTTCCAGCACTTACACGTCAATGAGGCTGCTAACTGATCTCAACCACCAAGTTGCTGTTGCTCCTGCTCCTCGGCCCAGATATGGAAAGGCCTTGGTTCATTTTCCCGCCTGCGAAAAACCCATTTCAGAATCTCGATGCGATATTTGATATGCATCAACGTCCGAATCTCGACTGTAAAAAATTTGTCAGTGGCTTCATCGAGACTTTCAATACCGAAGAATGCCCCAACAGTACTTACAGATTTTGTTCAGGTCCTCCAAGCCTATGCGTGTTGTCTCAGGCACCAAGAAGAAGACGGCAGCCCAGCATACCAAATTGAGCCCGGCAAAGAGTGCGAGGAGACCAGTGTGGGTCAGGGCGTATGCTAGAATTGGCGCAGTAAGAGCTAGAATCCCTGCTCCCAATAAATTCCAGAAGACCTATCAAAGTCTGAGCCTAGCTTGATGGTGGGGTTAGAGTGTCAAGATACGTACTGCGAAGCTCATGCCGACTTCGCGGTTGACAAGCGGAAATACCTCGCTGGATATAATGAAAGCAACTGGACCCTCGCCAGCGGAGTATGCCTATGCAGTTAGACGTCATCGGAATGGCTTGGATCAGGCAGGACCCCGTACCAAGGTGAATAAAAGGACAAAGAAAACGATCAAGCCCACGCGGGTGTCTCCATCCGGTATTAAGAAGCAGAGACCAGCGGCAAGCAAGGTCCAGGCCATGTTGGGAAACGAAAGATTTAAGAGGAATCGACGCCCCTAGGGTGATTTCAGCACTATGATCATGACGTTGACTAGCCGGGGACCATACCTTGCTATCGATGCTTATTAGCGCAAACGCGGTGAAGAGAAAATTTGCCAGTCCAAAGCCGAAACTCATCCACAGTGCTTTTCTTTGAACTCCCTCATTCGCTCCGAGATCATCACTGGGGTTTGTATCACCGCTGCCAGTCGAGGGATCTCGGCGGCCGCCAAGTATCGCGTCATTGAAGATTGTGGAAGAAAGGAATGCAAGTATGTTCACCTATTGGTTGTCAACGCTATGGCCCCGTAACGTAGTCATATGTGATGGCTAAGATGTCGCGGACAGGAATGTTATGAGAAAGATCAAGGAGTCAAAGACACTCACACCACACGCCTGTTGAGCAATCATAACAACAAAGGCAGCCATCCCCGCTCTGCGAATGCGAGCGACCTTGAACAGTTGCAGAAATCGTGTCCAATAGCTTGTCAGCGAGACTTCATTCTGGTAGGTATCGTGTGCGCCGACGGCGTCGTTGGCAGGCTGAAGTGGCATAGCTCGGTTATGCAGGCCTCTTGAGATGTAAATTGTCTCGTGCTGGATCTGGACATTGGTGAAGTACAGGTCGCGACAAGCCAGGATCGGCGTTGGAGACCCATGCAGTCTCATCCAGGCCAGGAGGGCTGCTTGATATCGACCCTTCTTCAGGAGCCATCTTGGCGATTCGGTGCAAACCGGAATGAGCAGCAGCATAAGAAGAGCTGGAATGAACGGAGCTGCAACCATCCGCCTCCATTTGTCGAAAACAGCTAGGTTGGCAGCGTTTCCAAGGAAAATGCCAAAGGCGTCGAACAATTGCCAGCATATCACTAGAGTCCCTCGGATAGACCGTGGAGCACTCTCTGCCAGCAGAATGGGAACGACTGAGGCTTTCGCTCCCATTCCAAATCCCAGTACGACTCTGCATGCCAGCAAGGCTTGCCAGCTTTGAGCATAAGCGGCGCCAATCACGGTTGAAAAGCTGAACAATCCAGCAACAAACAGAGCACCTCTCCTGCCGTAGATGTGTTCGTTGAGCGGGTCGGAGAGCCAACAACCGATGAATGCTGCAGAGATGTATGTCGACGCATTCACGATGCCGAAGATCCACACGTCATGTGAATGTGCCAAGGGGTCCGCCAGGTTCGCATTGAGACCGAATTCCCGCGGCCATCCAAGATTGGCGCCATTGATGCTGCTCTGATCCCAACCTCTTGAAGTAATCAGCACAGCATTCCGCACGCAGCTTGGGACCTCACAAGAACTTACTGAGTAATGGCGGCCAAACAGCAAGTTGCCAACACCACGTGAAAGTCTTTTGACAGCCGTCTCAGCTGCCGGAGAACACCTCGGGCGTTTTCTCTAATCAAGGCCTGCCGCTCGATGGGGGTCAACCCCTCGATGGAATCGTAAGCCTCCTCATCAGGATCCTTTGCAGCCAATGCTCCTCTGACAAAGGTCTCTACATCTACAATCTCGTGCAGATCGTGGTTTCGGTGGAAGGTACTGGCGTCCGCCTTTACTGCAATGTCTGTGAGGCCGCGGAGTGGATTATCCGTGCTGGGTTATTGACTTAGCATGGTACTCGTTGAGGCAAGAAGGGGCCAGTGTCGGACTCACAGGTTCTCATCTTCAACAATCACCGCCTGTGAGGTCACCATTGTTAGCGACTGATACCATATTATTTTTGCAAAACGAATGAGAAGACCTGCCTGCTGCGTCACTTGAGTCTGCGAAGGATTGTGCATTGCCGTGGAACGAAGACAGCTAAACGCCTGGACAGTTCATTGAGATGGCATTCCGGCTGAGAGCAGGAAGGCTGGAGCGCGCCAGACAGCATCTTTACATGCCCCTGGATTCCCATTGTTCGGTACACAGAAGTTGGGCGCAGGGCAGTCACGAAAGCCATGTGAGGCTATGACCAACGCGAACCACCGCGATTTGACAAGTGAGACACGACAACGTTGTTCTATTGAACGGGCGTTGGTGCTGGGTGCCTCGTGGGCTCGCTAAGCTTGGTCTAGGCAGCGGCTCGGAAGCCTAGCGCCACGCCTGGCCCGTCCACTGGCACGCCAAGCCAGTCAAGCTCAGCCACGCAAGCTTCGGCTACGCGCCACGCGATGCTTCTACCCCGCGGAGGTTGGCGTGAGGTCACGGTGACAAAACCAGATCTGGCACTGCTTCAGCCGCCATGGGCAAGCTCATCCCTTTCTACATTTACCCTCTGTATAGAATGACCTCATCTGGGCCTCGAATGTGCCCGCGATGGCTGAAGCCTTTCAGGTCGCGGCGAGTGCAGCGTCAATCGCCAACTTCGCGTTCAAGTTATATCAGACCTTGTCGGCATTCGTGGTAAAAGCTCGAGATGCGCAGTGCTCAGCGAAGCAGTTGGTCGACCGAGCTCAACGACTTCGGGAGACACTGCTTATGGTCCGTGTGACTATGTCGAACAGAAGCCGCCACTTTGACGACGAACAAGCATCCGAAGCAGAACAGTATATCTGCAACAGGATCAATCAGGGCCTCAAGGCTTTCAGTCGTACCTTGAGACTATTCAGACGCGAGATCGAGAAACTGAATGTGGGAGAGAGGGAGAGTTGGCTGGGTAAGACGGTCTGGCAGCTGAGGCGTGACAGTGCCGACCCAAAACTGACAGCCCTCCAAAGTGACATTGCAGCTTTCACGGCTGAGCTCTCTCTTTCATTGCAGTGCATGAACCTGTAAGTTTGAATACTCGCCCGATGCTTTGATGCGCTCAAGCTTACTTCCATAGCGCCGACGTGTCTGGGAGACAGAGCAGTATCGAAGAGAAGCTCCGGGCCCTAGATCGAAAACTCGAGGATTGCAGGCACAGCGTAGATGCTGCTATATCCCTGGATGTCTCCGGCACCATCGGAAGCTCCACAAGCTGCAATATACACACGCAAAGAGCGATCCATTCTATAGCCGCGGCAGAGGCGGCTAGAAACTCCGTTGTGAATGGCGGAGAGCCTACTAGAGAGTTGGCTCGTCTCAGCCGTATCATCACTGAGCGCGAAGACGAACATTCAAGCCCAGGTACTGAAGCATTGGTTGACACAGGAGAAGATGAAGAAGAAGAAGAAATAGAGGAGACTTCCGAGCATGGGGATCCAGCAACAACCCAAGCCGACGTTGTGGAAGCGGATCCAGCAACAACCCAAGTCGACGTTGTGGAAGCGGATCCAGATCCCTCTTTCGATGATACCACACCACGCGAACCACTGGAGGAGCTGATCAAGTCATATCAAGAGAGAGTCCAGCAAGGTCGAGTTGTTGGGGATGATGATCTTGAGAAGGTCGAAGAGTTCCAGCGTAGATTGATCGAGCACGCTACAGAGTTCAACCAGGCGTATGAACCAACACATGACGTGGAACGCATGTGGCTGGACTTATCTCATATCCTTTCTGCCCGTGCTAGGCTCGAGGAAGCACATGACATCCTCAACACTCGGTTTCCGTCGAATCCTCAAGGCCGAGTGGGTTTGACATCTGATGCACTGCTCCAGACAGAATCAGAACCACGAACTCCGACCGACGCGCATACACGATTATTACAGTCCGACTTCTACTACGCCCTGGCCGACCTACAACTCCAGCAATATGAGGCAACACAAGATTCGGTGTTTCTGCATGCTGCCACAAAATGGGCAAAAAGATGTTTCAGGCTGAGACTCGATCTGCGAGACGCTGGTATAAGAGAGTTTCGAGAATCGGTGTGTCTGTTTGTTTTGGCCTTGAAATTACAGCAACTTCCTGTCGCGGTCGACGTCTACACTCGTCTATATCTGCAAGACGTTGCAGCGCCGTCACCCCCAACTCCGCCTCCTACTCCCGTGGCTGAACCGCCTGCACTGGCTCCAGCGAGGTCCGTCCGGAGTCTGTCTTCCAATGAGCTAGCTCCAGAGTGGTTTGATATCAATGAACCTGACGGCGAGGGCTCCACATGGCTAATCAGAGCTGTTAAGAGAGGCGATGTAGAGAAGGTGGACCTCTACCATCGGCATGGTGCGGACCTCGAAGTGCGCGACAAGGCGGGCAAGAACGCTTTGATTCATGCAGTGGAGAACGATGAGTACCCGCACCTCGTGGTGATAAAGCTTTTGGAACGTGGCGCCGACGTCGAGAGCACCTATAAGGATCTGACTGCACTCCATTACGCCATCTACCTCGACAAACCGACCGTGGTGAGACTTCTTCTTTCTAAGGGCGCCAAGATCAAAAGCACCGTACAGGCTGGCGAAACAACAAGCACAGAGCCTGGGGAGCTTGGCTTGAAGGGGAAGACTACGCTGATCTACGCGGTTATGAGGATGAACGCATCACCAACCCCTGAAGTTCGGCGTTCGGAGTCATCGCTCGAGGGTCATGATGCGATCATCTCCACCCTTTGTGAAAGACTGCAACAGGAACAGAAGGACGCGCCAGATTCAGACAACTTGACGGCACTGCACCATGCCGTGCACACGAAGAGGATTGAGGCGGTCAAGACACTGCTAGACCAGGATGTGAATCCCAACGTGAAAGACAGACAGGGTAAAACGCCCCTGCACTACGCGGCCGAGAGGAATCTGAAGAACATTTTGAAACTCATACTGGATGCCTCCACGACCGAGATCAACTTAACAAACAACGCCGGACGGACTCCCTTATTTGTAGCAGCCAGGTGGAATGAATTTGAGATAGTAGAGCTGCTGCTAGCTCATGGCGCCGGGTTTGACTCCAACGCATCGCTCGATCGACGCCTCCGCCCGCCAGACATGAACAGGAATACAGAGAAGCTGCTGGAAAGCACGAAGACTAGTCGGCATGGGAGATCGGATTCGATGAGCACAGCCTCCTCATCGCGGTCGCGACGCAGCTTGTCGTGGACGAATCGCTCCCGGTAATCGAACGTATGCCGGTTGGGTGCCGGTCCGGGACTCGACGTGATCGCAAGCGTCGGACGGCGAAACCCAGGAAGCGAAGGACGCAATCAGAGGTAATGTCAAGACAATGGTTGAAGGTATTGCACCAGCTCGAATGAGCTTGCCACGTTCGTGTCATTGTGCGAACGCCGTCCAAGTCGCCTGAATGACAGTCACCTGCGGTGCTTGACTTGCAGCTCCAGCTCAATCTATCACGCATTGGACGATGTCACGTAATGACCGAAGACTCTCGAACTCCAGCTTCTCTTTTCGTGAGTCTGTACAATGTTGTGCTCAAACTGTTTCAGTGGCGGCTAATGAAATGACAGAATTCATTCCTCTACCTCCAACAATACTCTCCGCTAGGGATCCAACCGTCGTGACGGTACGGAGCCCTTGTAAGAGGAAAACAGAAGAATCAGTATACTTTGTCGGGTTGTTGGTTATGTTCATCATGACCTCATGATTGTCCGGATGAGCTGCGTTGGTTGCACTATACCCTGGATTGGCAAACAAATCGTCTCCGCCATGACCTACCAACTCTTATTCCTCCTCCGTCGCCTTCTCATTCCATCGGTCTTCTACCTGTGGATCTCGTATTATGGCCGAGCAACACTCGTTACTACTGCCATCCATACATCTCCCATACCCCGCAACCTCAGCTACAGGCAATTAGCGCGTGTTGCTCCCTATGCCGAAAACGTGCGACAAACGAAGGGAGAGCACTTGAAGTGATCATTTCGGCGGACTTATCAAATGGTAGTCAACTCGTTGTTGGAAATCTTTGACAAGGTCAACATCTACCAAGCCCAAGAGCCTTGTCCGACTCAAAACTCAGTTTCCTCCCTAACTCCTGCAAGTCTGCTATTCGGAGAGCCGCTGGTGGCTGACCTGACCCATGGAATAGCGTACAAATCGCTTCATTCGCGTCAGCAGGTTTTGCCTGCATATTCCGTTGAGAAGCGGCCTCGATGGCAATCCTCCCCTCTGGGCTGCTACGTACGTCCCGCCACCAAGTCTGCACTTCTTCTTCGAGTGCACTCTGTCGCCAGCTGTGCCTCTGTCGCCCCACAGCAAACGCTCGGACAGGAGCCGTGCCGCCGGATATCATGCGGCTGCTCCATTCGTGTACGTACTCGAAGACCTGTTCACCAAACCCCAAGCCGGTCATAAGGAGGGATGCTTCGAACCGGAGAAACATATCCTGATCGAACCTTTCTGCAACTGCTCTCTTTGACTCGTTGCACGTTTCCTGGGCACTAGCCCTAGCGCGCATGAAGCAGTGGAAAGAACATAGAGTAGTGTATCTGATCAGTAGCATTGCAGATTCCCCCAAGCAGGATGCAATTGCTCGGTCGAGAAACGCTTCTGCGGCATGGTTTCCCTTGGTGGTCCTGAGCAGACGGTTCGCGTACAATATCCTCGTGATGATGGCTGCACCGAGGAGGATGCTCTGATACCGTCCCCAGTGGCCCGAGCTCGGTCCGACTGCGACAGTGGCATATTCCGCGAAGTGACTCAGTGCGCTATGGACCTCTACCATATAACCGACCGTTTCAGCGTCGATATAGGGTTGGTGGAACAGCGAAAAGAGCAGTGGGGTCTGTTGCTTCGCGATGCCTGTGACCGATTTCGTGGCCACATCTCGCAGACGAGGAGATGTCAGGCTGATGCTGAGCCAGTTCTTCTTCGAAAACGGGACGAAAGAAAGGATGTGTGACAAGATCTCGTCCGGCAGTACCTCTAACGTCGAACAGGAGGATATCGCGGCGCCACCAATGATTGTCGCCATCAGCTCAACTCAGCTCAGCCCAGAAGAACCTCGGACTCAATCTCTGCCATTGCTTGTGTCATGGACAGACGTCAAGTCAGTGGCCAGACCTACTGTGTCGAGATAATTATGAGCACTCTCAACTCAGCCTTATGTGGGGCATGTGCTTCCTCACAAGGCCTGGCAACCTGCACGAAAGGTGACGGTCTCCCCTCAAGACTTGGAGTAGGTTATACGCATCCAAAGAGGAAATGCTCCTTCTCATGTCAAGAGTTCTGGCCATGAGTTATTCCTCGTCGTGAAGGTATTTGTATTTGAGGCTTGAAAGAAGCTTGCTTGGCTTGTACCAAATTTCCCCTCCTTCTTTGCCTTCGAATGGATGCTGGCTTGTGCTGAACATGCCTCGAATGCAGCAGGGAGAGGCGCCGGATCATGTGCCATGTACGCCATGGGTGGGGCATTAACTCGATCTCAAATCGAGGCGATCCCAGGATGCATTGCTCCATCATCTGCATACCATCTTTCGCTATTATTGTCCACTTATAGACTCTGCATTTGCAGGTTGGCCGCCTGCTCTCTTTTCGGAACATCAATGCAATACAATGCAATGCCACGATTGAGATTCTCAGCCACCAGACTTCTCTCCGTGCTGACCTTAGGTGCTGGCGCTGGAACGGTCGGCGCTTTCCAATGGTGGACACAGGACTGTCGATTCGTCCCGTACGATCCGTCCAACGACGACCTATTCAAAAGCACGATCTACCGCCGTTTCAACCCGAACCAGAATCCCACCTTCCATGACCTCTGTGTGCGCAAGGTCCCGCTGAGCAGGCTGGATCCCTCTCTTCTACGGGACCATGAAGAAGGGGGCACGAAGTTGATCGAAGCGTACTGTGCCGCAGTCTGGGCAAGCCACGGTACGTCCAGCTTCATCTCCTTGAGACAACACGGGCCTCATATCTCGTGTCCTGCATTAGTAGAGACTCAAAACATCCTTAGTATTGCTAACAACACAATGATGTTGCATCACAGCCTACACGATCCAGCGCAGGTACTTGCAACAGCGATACAGCTCGCCAACGACTTCCCACCAACTCTGGAGACGATCGGACCTTCGCCAATCCTCTTACGAAGTCGGCACCGAGATCACCAACCATTTCGTCGTGCTGGCCAAGACTCCAACGTCGATTCTACTCCGATGTGGTGACTCGCCGCTGAACACGCCTCACGGGCCGCGGCACATCGATGGGCTATTCGAGATGAGCGTGGCTACGGACAAGGATGAAGGCGTCGCAGAGTTTCGGATGAAAAGCCTCTTCTATCACGGTGTGGGCAAGGTGTCTACAAGTCCCATCAGACCCTTCTCGTTCGAAGCGTGGGCCCACAAGCGATACGCTAAGTTGTTGCTGGAGGAAGCCGTCCAGAGCTGTACGCAGAGTGCCTGGAGCGGCACCCGGTTGTCTTCTCTTGCGCGCAGAGAGCAGAAAGGCACGGCTGAAGGTACTCAAATTCAGTAGCTTGGGTGCATGCATACACTCGCGGACTAGGCAGTCGACTTGAACACGTCAAGGCGCCAGGGAACGGATGGGCAGGACAATGTAGACGGATCACGTTTCTTCGAGACATGTGAATATACATATGCCTGGCTGGCTGGCCTCCTGCTCCTGTTCATTGGCCGCGGCCCATAGTCGACACAGAGAGAGACCAGATCTGACCGACTCATCTCGGGGCTGTGTACAGATACCAAGAATGGCCAACCCACACACACTCTCTCACTCACACTCACACACCCCACATACAGTAGTATACTTGCCTGCAAGAGGTTCCCGGATTGGCATAACACGCACACGCACACACACACACACAGAGAGAGGCAGATACTATCTACCTATGTAACGAGTATGTTCTTTTATCCCGTGCTTGCGCTTCACGCCTCCGTCGAGTCTGACTTGAAAAAGTCGCCAATCGCCTTGAGCGCCTCACAGTACTCTGACCCCTCCCATTTCGCGACCTCGTCAAGTAAGTGAGCATAATTCAGGATGATTTTCCTGGCTGCCCGTTCTCCGACAGCTTCCAACGCACCAAACGAGATGCACCCTCCACTTCTGATGAAGCGTTTCGCAGGGCAACAGTGTCCAACCTGCGACTTCGCTCCGCCGAAGCCTTCGGTGCCGACCTCGGCCCAGTCGATCTCCTGCAACAATTCCAGGTTGGCCACGGGAGAGCGCAGAGCCGCCGCCGCCGCCGCCGCCGCCGCCGCGCCTTGCTCCGAGGGTGATGTCGGTAGTGTCGTCGATTTCAGGACATAAAACGCCAGGACCAGCGCGGCCGTGAAGATCATATGCTCGTGGAGAAGCAACGCCGGCTCCGAGACGCGCGATTGCGAGAGAATCCAGAAGATCTGGGAGGCGTGCAATGCCGCGCGTCGGGCCGCAGGTGATTTCGCCCAGGCCGTGATGTTCGCCAGCGCACTCTGCGCCGAGACGGCGCCCTTGCGGCCCAGGGCCAGTTCGAACTGGTCCATGTCGGCCGTCGTGGACATGCAGAGGCTGTTCCAGAGGAGCAGGGCGTGCGGGTTTTCGCGATCGAAGTAGTCACTACGGCTGCTGGGGATTGCGGCCAAGAGAGGGGCAATGTTCTTTGCATGCTCGTCCATCGCGTATCTCTCGACCGGTGCCGCCGAAGACGCTTGCGTCTCATCACTGCCGCCGCCGCCGCCGCCGCTGTCAAGCTGGCCTGGATACAGTCTATGACGGGCTACAGAATGTTGGAGCGAGATGGCAGCTAACAATGCTTGTAGGCCCATGCTGCCGAGCATGGCCGGCGACAGCATCGACATCCTCTGCAGCGTCATCCGCGGCATGATGATCTGGGCGTTGGTCTTTTCCACCTCTTGTGAGAACGTCGTTGCGTTGGGGGCCTCAAACAAGGACGATTTGCAGGGAGCAATGATTTCGAGCTTGTCCAGTTCGACAACGCCCGCCGTGCCCCAGAGGCTGGCGTAGGTGGCGTCAATTATGAGGAGACATGTGATCATCCTGTGCCTCAGATCAATCAGCTGGCTGCAGTCGGAAAACAACTTCTCTCAGAGAAACGAACCTCTTGACGGATTCTACTCGCGCCCAAGGCTTCCACAGCCGTTGCAGGTCTGTGGCTGGTCCCATCCGGCCGAGATCGAGTTCTTGGCCGTCACAGGCCGCAAACAATCCATGCTTTTCCGAAACCTGGGCCAAGTCAGATGCAATGAACGAGGAGTCACCAAGAAGTCTGCCACGCACGTGTAAAGTCTCAATGCAGAGCATATGGGCTTCATTTTCATCGAGTCGTCGCTGCAGACTAATCAGAAGATATGCAAAACAATTGGTCAGGGCGGCCAAAACCTACTGAGATGCAAAGTGCAAGATTGAGCACAAGTAATGAGGCAGCTACGGCTGTGATGAGCTCCAAAGGTGGACGCTTGCCAAGGGCTTGGGATGTAAGTTCCAATCGGGACGCGTGTACAAGTTTCTTCAAGATCATCGTCAGCGGAGATCGAGTGAGGTTTTACAAGAGCACGCTACTTACAGTCCACTCGGTGCGGACAAAGTCTCTGGAACCCCTGGGATCTAGTGACGACAGCCCAATAAGACACATGGGAAATAGCACCGCGCTTGGTGCTGACCTGGCATCGAAGGTCGCCTGGTGTATAAAGGGCATGGACGGATGGAAGCGTTGGAAATAGAGGTCCAGACTCATGTCCAGCATCTCAACCGATGGAAACTGAGCTTCGTGGGTCATCGACAACGGACTCTGAGGGGTGTTGCTGGTCTGGTCGACTGGTATGGCGTAAGGAGACTCTTCTTTGCCAAAGATTTTGTGGCTGTCTTGCAAGAGTCTGTCCCTGCAGCTGGCATCCATATTCCACCTTGAGCCTGTCAAGTTGCTACGTTGAGGACTCTGGCTTGGAGATTCTGTGCTATCATGACACAAGATGTTGTCCGCCGGATGCTGTAGAGCGGTCTGCCACAGTCTTCGAATTAGGCGGATGGGACGAACCAATTTTGTTGGCCATGCCTTCTGGACCCGACTAAGCCTGTCTGCAGATAGGCCATGGTTGGACAGTTGATCCTGGCACAATTCATGGTCTTCACCAGGAGTAGGGAGGGACGGGACGACGCTATCCAACTTCGGTAGATTGATGATGGCAGACTCAAGCCAAAGCAAGTCGGGTGCATTGTAAGTCTGCGTGAAATCAATATCTCCCGTATCAAAACCGCCCAGTTCCGCGCTCATCTCGCCGCTCATGTCCATATCCTCCGGATAAGGCGAGATGGGTATGGTAAAATACTGCTGGCCGATAGTAGGGGTCATAGTATCGGCTTGAGGGTGGATCAGGTTGTGCTCGTGTGGCAGATGTGCCGGCTGTGATGTTTCGTTATCCTGCATCATTCGACCATGGTGATTTTCTGATAGCCGAGATACTTCAATGGTATCACCGTCGGGTGCTAAATCTCTCACGGTACGAGTGCAACGGGCGTTTTCTTTGGATTGAACGTCCGAGACATCGCCGCCAGCGGCGATGACTGGCTCTGGTCGTTCTCGATTGTCTGTTCGAAGAGCAGGACCGAGGATTGGAGATTTCCACGTCAGCGAAATATCACCTGGATTGTTCACCCGCCTTGCGTTTGGCCGCCTCGAAGGAACTTGAGGGGCTATTGTTGATGGTGAGTTGCCGTCCGTCGATGGGACGGAGCGGACGCATTCGACCGTGGTTGTTGACTGCTCTGTTGGCCTCCTTAGCATGGCACTCATATCACTGGCCTCCGAACACCGACGTTGGGTTTGTCCTGGAGTATGGGCCGGATCAGGCGACTCTGAGGTTCGGGCGTGTTCCTGTGGATTTGCGGGAGGTACAGCGGGCTCGATCGGAATGTCCTCTGGACCATCGTCGGCGGTGGGATGGTGATTGCGGATATGCCTGGCCAATACATCGCTGTCATGGCGCAATCAGCAATTTGAGTCTCGGCTCATTCATGTCAGAACAAGGGCAATGCCTACCTTCGAGCATATCTTCGTCCACAGAATGCGCACTTGAATGGCTTTTCTCCCGTGTCTTATGAGAACCGGTCAGCCAGGAAGCTGGGAGATGATGTGTGAGGGATATCCAAGCTTACGCCACCTTTGATGCCGCCGCAAGTGCTCCAGCTTTGAGAAGGTTCGTTCACAATAGGCGCATCTCTTCCATGTGGTCTGTAAAGTGTCTGTCATTTTCAGCGATGTTATGTGCCAGGCAGGCGACGACAGTTCCTTTGGCTGGTCTACAGCATGTAGCGAGAGTCCCAACCACTGCGTGCAGATCACTTGGAGCCATATTTTGCTCAACGACCCTGTGCCTTGAGCACCGGTGATTTGGTGGGCAAAAACAGACACTGGACCCGAAGAAGCAAGGGTGCCTAAAGGCACGCCGAAGTGGCAGCCGACTGGCCGGTCACCGATCGGCTCCACGCCTAGAACGCCCGGAGCTTGTGGGGGTTTCACGCCTGCATCAGCCCCGGGGCTGTGGGGGTTTCGCCTTCCTCGCCTTGAGGAATTTCTAAACGTGTCAATTAGGCACCTTATGTACAATTCCAGCCAGCTTCACCCGGCCACCATGTTCAGGATTTCCATCACCTGATCCTTTTCCGTGATCGGAAAGGCGTTTGTCTTGATCCACAGATCATGCAAGCTGTTGACCGCGAGCAGATCGAACTTGTCTCTGCCGACGTTGACGGCACGGAGGGACCGCGGCATGCCGAGTTCCCCGATCACAATGTCCAGGATGTCGCCCAGGTCCAAGTTGCTCGTCTCGCGACCTCTGGCTTTGACGGCGGCTTGGACAGGTGCTAGTCCCAACAACAGCTCTCGAACCATAGCTTGCCGGGCATTGTTGGCTCCCTTTGCGGCATTGAACTTGCAGACCGCGGGTAATAGAATACAGCTCGTCTCGCCGTGTCCAACACCCAGAGGCCCCAATTGGTGTCCTATGGCATGGCTGGCACCCAATGGCGTCCCCGTAGAAACAGCTTGCATAGCCTGAATCACTCCAAGCTGGCAGAGGTACCGGCCCTCCGAGTCGTCCGGATCGGCTTTCGATCGGAGCAGTCCGCGGACCAGCATTTCCAAACCACGGCTGGCGGCAGCATCTCCTTCGGGTGTGCTCTGCAGGCTGCACACGGTCTCGACGCAATGGTCGACCGATCTGATCCCAGTGCTCAGCCATACCCATTGTGGAGTGGTTTTGACCAGTTCCGGGTCAAGAATAACCAGTTCCGGGTCGACGCCAGGCTCAAATGTCCTTTTCGCTCGTGTGGTCAAGGTCTCGGTCGCGCCCGCAATCGCTTGGTATTCTCCTCCGGATAGAGAAGTTGGTATGCATATCATCGGGGTCGTTGGTTTGGTGATGTTCTCACGGCGGGACGGGTTGTATGAGTGGCCACCCCATAAGGTGCTTATTGCCGTCTCATCCCATGCCGAGTTGGCAATCGCAAACCTCACCAGCTTGGCAGCGTCAGTGATGCTCCCTGCGCCGAGGGTGACGAGGCAATCGATATCGAGTTGCCTCACGTCTTCGATGACTTCGACAACTTCGGAAATGGGTGTGTGCGGGCTTATGCCGATGCGACACCCGGCCACACGGTCGCCCAATGCTCCTTTCAGCTTCTCCAAGCAGTCCGTCTGCTTCGATAGAGACCGGGATGCCAAGATAAAGACGCGGGTAGCCTTGAAAGTATGTGCGACGTGTTTAGCGCATGCTTCTTCAAAGGGGAGCCCTGAAGTGATTTTCGGCGTGGGCTTTTTGTCAAAGGCCGGTCGGCACTGCTCTTGTCCTGGGGTGTAGGCCATTTCGTCCTTCTCGAATGTCCGAAATCAAGGATGAGACAGCGATGTCTGGAAAAAGTGGCTGAAATCGTAGACACGAGGATTCCCCTCAATCGAAGGGCAAAGAGACCAATCGACAAGGTAGGCGTTCTTCCTTTTTGGCCACGCACGGGTTTCCGGCAATGTGGAATACTGGGGCGTCGCCATGATGCTTCGATAACCCACTTACCTTCCCCAAACGGCAAATGACTGGCGTTGCTAGCCGTACGAGGTACCAGCCAGAAGCGGCCTGGATTTCACCCATGTCAACCTCGTTACTTCCCCACATCGGATTGCTGTTGATCGATCCCTCCTTGGCAAGGCTCGACTCCATCACTCGCTCATGCTGGGATCGTCTTCTTAGAACAGCCTCGTGAAGTGCTCTGCGGGCTCTACAGAATGGCGTCGCCTGCAAGACTGCTCGGACGGCTTGCCACCAAATCACCGAATGATATCGTGCTGCTTTCTGCTGTGCGAAGTCCAATTACAAGGTCTTTCAAGGGCGGTTTCAAGGATGCTTGGCCAGAAGATATACTCATGCCGGTACGACGACGACATCACTGTTTAGCTACGAAGCCCTAATGCAGACATAGGTGATGAGGGGGGCGGTAACCCGTGCCGGCATTCAACCTGGCGATGTTCAAGATGTGCTCATCGGGAATGTTCTGGCGGAGCTTGGGTTTGCGAAGACGGGCCGAATGGCCTTGAACCATGCAGGGTTTCCAGTCACCACCACGTTTCACACTGTCAACAGACAATGCTCGAGCAGCTTGCAGGCCATTACCCATATCTCGCACGCTATTCTAGCCGGACAGATCGACGTTGGACTTGCAGGAGGTGTCGAAAGCATGACACGAAACTACGGTAGTCGAGGTGTTCCCATCGATGTGTCTCCGTCGCTCAAGAACTCCAATGTCAAAAGCGCCAGGGACTGCCTCATGCCCATGGGGATCACCTCCGAGAATGTGGCTACCAGATGCAACATATCCCGAAAAGACCAGGATGAATTCGCCCTCCTGAGCCATACACGAGCTCTGGAGGCCCAGCAGTCGGGCAAATTCTCCTCGGAAATCGTCCCCGTGGAATGGGCCTACACCGACGATGCTACAAGCGTACAAACGACGCTAAGAGTCGAAAAGGACGACACCATCAGACCTGGCGTCACTCTCGAGAAACTGGCAAAGCTCAAACCTGCCTTCTCTGACGATGGCCGAAGCACGGCAGGAAATTCGTGCGTCTTTCGAACGTGCCCTCTGTTTTGTTTTTAGCTTACACTCCATAGGTCACAAATATCGGATGGTGCTTCGTCCTGCATTCTTGCACGTCGATCTTGGGCAGAACAAAGGGGTATCAAACCAATAGGACGCTTCCTCGGTACGACGGTCGCTGGCTGCGAACCCGATGAAATGGGCCTTGGTCCTGTCTATGCAATTCCTGCACTTTACAAATCTACCGGAATCTCGCAGAAAGACGTCGATATTTTTGAGCTCAACGAGGCTTTTGCCAGTCAGACTCTTGCGTGCCTTCGGGCGCTTGGCATCGGCGTCGAAAAGGTAAACCCCAGGGGTGGCGCTATTGCCTTGGGTCACCCAACTGGCGCAACAGGAGCACGGCAGACAGCCACATTATTTGCGCAGCTAGAACAAGAGAACAAGGAATTTGGTATCGTGAGCATGTGTGCAAGGTGAGAACGTCCAGAAGAGACGATGTTTCAAAGTTGACTTTCCTCCAGTACGGGTCACGGAGTCGCGGCGCTATTCCAGAGGGAATAGAATGGCGGTATTCCCGGTGCAACAAATGTCAACTGCGTCAGCTCGATCAGGCAGCAAAGGGACGGGAAGAGGCAGGAAAGTCGAGACACTCCACGATAGAGAAGCGCCAATGTCTATCATCGCAGAAACCTCGGTCTCATATATCAAGCGCTGAAGGCTACCCAGAGCAACGTCACTCTCGTACTATCCCTGGCTCCTGGCTCCTGTATCTATGCTGCATGACCATTTTCCAAGCCCGGCACCAGTACTCTCTCTTCAACCGCCACGAAAGTCTTGTTCGGGTTCGGAGGCGCCGTGGGAGTGCCGAACACCAGCTGGCCCTTTAACTTCCACTCGACTGGAACTTTCCACTGCTCGACAATCTTCTGATCGATATAAGGGTTAAAGTGCTGCAAATTGCACCCGAGACCCTCCAGCTCCAACGCCGTCCACAAATTCAAGGTATTCATTGCATTCGTGTGCTCAGCCCACTGAGGGAAGTAGCTACTGTATCGGGCAAACTTCTGTTGTAGCTGGTGTGTCACACGCTCATCTTCGTACAGCAGAACCTTCACATAGAAAAAGGACATCGGATTAGTATGCGCTCTGTTTTCAGGAGTGTTCGTTTTTTCTTCTCCGACATTGCAATCACGCAGGGCTGAGTTACCGTTCCGTATGCATTCCGGCGTTGATCCAGCTTCTTCTCATCTGCTGCCCAGTCGCTGGCGGCGTCTACCGCCTTGACGCAATCTTTGGCGATATCCCAGAGCTTTCTGTGGTCATCTCCAAGCAAGATGACGAAACGCGTCGACTGGGAATTGAGCGAACTGGGGGTGTGGCGAATGACTTCTTTGGCGATTCTGATGATTTCCACGTCCGGTATTGGCGATTTCGCCTCGAGCTCGTAGTAAGTCCGGCGCGATTTGATGGCGGCGAGGAATTGGTCGGCCATGGTATGGTACTGTGGCCTTCTTTCTCTCCCAGTTTCACTTTCCGAGAAGTGTTCAGTTCAATCTATGACCGAGGTCTTGGTATAGGGACTCGCGAGTCTGCACATCCGACTGTTAAAAGCATCGACTCCCCACATGGAGAAGCCATTTGCGGTAGCTCCTGTCCCGGGAGTGAGTACCCAACGAATCTCGGAAAGGGATCAGTGAAACATGGCAATACCATTTTCATGATCCTCACATGCGACGTTGAAGGTGTGTGGGCTTTTTGTGTCGAAAGGGTGACACCTTCGCTGGGAGGGGCTTCTGTACACCGCGATCATGTCCTTCGCGTCCTGGCATGCAGTGCCAGTACCACATCTGCTCTCACAGAATACAAAGAACACATGCACGCTGCTGGCTTCGGTCCGGGTAGATGTACGAAATTATTGAGGTTTGTTGAAAGACTATGTCCAGAAGCTGCAGAATCGTATTGAATCCAGCCTCGCCAGCTCTTGTAGCCTGCAAAAACAAGGTCTCAATGACTAAGGCTTGGTCTCCAATGAATCATAGCCGAGTCTTCAAGTTCTGCTTTTCTTGAACCTCGGCCAAAATGAAATCATGCTCGAGCAACCAAAAGCCCTCGGACTCGCGTCCGTCGACGACACGGGTAAATGTCTTGGTGTTGTACAATCTGGCTTCTTCCTTATCTTCGATCCACTCGATGTCCTTGACCAAGCTGCTTTTCGTTCCAAATACAGGATCGCGGAATATCCTAGGGCTGGTTCGGTCGTACAATGCCGTGTTGAGTCTCTCATAACAAGGGTGACTGATCAAAAAGTGCTGTTTGTTCGTTAGTACTGTGTGCCAGAATACAAAATGGAAACGGAGACACTCACCACATGAGCTGGTCGATAGGCTTGTCGATTCAAAAGGTCCAGAATAATGCCGACGGGACCATCGAAAGGCACAGGATAGTCGACCGGGTGGACGCCGTTGATGTAAAAGCGTCCCTCACCATCAGTGTAGAATTTGCCTCGACAATCTGGGCCACCCGTCTCAGGGTCCTGCATGTCGTACTTGCCATTACCGTTGGTTTCCCAGATGTCTAGTAGAGCTCCCTCGATGGGCTCTCCTTTCCGATTCTTGACCGTTCCGCGGATGAGCATGGATTCGCCGGCCCCGACAGACGAGATACTGTCTCCGTGATTGAACTCGTGCGAGTCGTTGTGAAACGGCCCAAGAACCGACGATTCGGTGCAGCCTGGCAGCTGCCGACTGTTGATCTGGTCCACCAAAGCAGATATACCGAGCACGTCTGACAGGAGGATGAATTCCTGTCTCTCTGCATGGCAGGCTTGTCCGACCTGGAAACTGTCAGTCCCTGGAATGGACGGATTCCGTTCGTTTCGGACCTACGTCGGTCAAGAACTGCCATGCGGCTTCCCACTCATGACGTTGAATATCTGTCTCACGAATGAAGTCGTGCGAATGCTGGATAAGCCTGCTGAAGATGAATTTGACTCTTTCGTTGTCGATGTTTGAGGACACTTTGATGACGTGGGCAGTAAGGTCGTCCACGTCGAGCTTCTCAAAACTGGCGCCGTTCGGCACTGTACCCGCAGCACTGGGCGACATCTTCGTAGGTGAAGAGGAATGCGATGCTTCTGAACCTGACGCCAGGCTGCGAATGGATCATGCAAATACTTCGAGCTATCATTGGCCCCACATACTGTAGTGCCGTGCGAGATGGCGTTGTCGTATCCAGTGCTTGATTGGGCATCCTGAAAAAGCGCAGAGTCATTATGAGAGGGATTGCGAAAGTCAGGTGGTTTTTGCCCAGCGCTGCGGATCACCAAGGTCATGCTAGAGGATTGTCGACAGATATAAAGGACATCTACCCTTGTCGGCGTCATGACTGCGCAATGTGTATTACTGTAGGGGCCCATAAATTAATCGTACTGATTGTACTTAGACCCAACGAGAAGAAATCGATTGGAATGCAAACGTAAAGCGGCGGCATTGTTTGCACTCCAGTTATCCATTAAACGCTAACCTTCTTGGGCAAGGTCAACAGTTACCCGATTAGGACTATCGTTATCAAGGCGACTGCATCGGCGCGTCCTTCTATCGCCAGCGCGACGCGCCTCAGGTGACTGTTTGCCAGTTCGCCGTTCGATTAATCTCCAACAGAGACCTTCTCAGTCGATGGATCTTTCTCCATTCTCCTAGCCATGCTGGAACGACAGGAATTTCTTGAGTGTGTAAACCTGGGTTTGCCTCCCTGAACGACGCCCCACATGCCTCATGAGGCATAGATTTCATATGAGGGCGGCGAGTCCTCGCAGAGTCTTGTTTGAGCAAAACTAGTTGTTGTGCCGATAATCTCAAAGCCATCTTGCGTGGTCATTTGTATCTTGTCGACCATCAGGGCGCCAGTTGAGCCGAAAAGTTGCAACGTCGCTAACAATCGTCTGGAATCAGTTCGTCAACACACATCATCATGCCAAAGTTGGTCCTTGTGACAGGTGCTACCGGAAACCAAGGCAAGACTTGCGTCTGTGCAATCGGACAACTGCTCATCGTTCCCCAGGCGGTTCGGTTGCAAAGCTGCTTTTGCAGCATCCAGATCAATATACCGTGCGATGCCTCACTCGTAACCTCGAGTCTAAAGCCGCTCGCGCCCTTGCCGACTCGGGTGCTCAACTGGTTCAAGGCAACCTCACGGACCCGTCAACCCTTCCTGCGGCGGTCAAGGGATGTTGGGCAGTGTTTGCGGTCACCAACTTTTACGATGCAGTATGGTCCGCGGCCTGACGCCGATTGGAGCGTCTCAACTCACTCTTCACAGGCCATCATTGATGATCCCATGAGCGAGGAACAGCAGGGTCGCAATCTCGCAAAGGCTGCCCATGATGCTGGCACGGTGGAATGCTTCATCTGGAGTACCATGCCCAGCTCCCACGCGTTGTCCGGCGGCAAGTTTTTCACCCGACTTTACGAAGGTAATGGGAATCACACCGTTCAAGTCCAGCTTTGTTGATTTTGGTCTTTAGGCAAGCATCTCGTTGACGGCTACATTCGCGAACTCGGTCTACATGGGACCTTTCTGTACACGGGCAACTTCTACGAAAACATGGTGCTGAGAGGACATATGTCCTACAATAAAGAGACGGACACTATCATATTCAAACAACCTATTATTGAGCCGGACGCCGAGCGTGGGTCACCCCAACACAGCCATCCTAGGGACACATACTCACATATTCACAGTCACGATGCTGTATGTGGAGAAAGATCTCTCTGCGATCGTCAAGGCAATTTTGGATCAGTGGGAGGAAAGGAAGGCCGAGTTGGATGGCGCCTACCTGCAGGCCAGCAATGCAAGGGTCAGGCCAAAAGACATTGTGGCAGCGGCCAAGAAAGGTAGGCTTTTCCATCTCCAAAAGAATGTTGCGGTGGCTAATTTCATCGTGGAGTCTCCGGCAAGAACGTCGAATACGTAGTGCTGCCGACGACAGGCGTGCCGGAGAGGGATACCATGTTTCGGTTCTACAATGATGTTGGGATGCATCCGGGTGTTTCGCTACCGGATCCGCAGGTGGTGAAGCTGGGCGTCAAGTTTCACGACGCCGAAGACTACATACGAGAGAGGCTTTTGCCGCATCTTGGAATTGTACCGGTCAACTAGGGACTCATTTGGTCACCGAATAAAAAGATAAGACCTGTCGCTCTCGAATAACTCGCTCCGAGATTTTGACGTGGAAATGTCTCTGCATTTGTTAGCCTATACCTGGTGTCGTAGTGGGCTCGAACCTCTGTTGTTATGTGCCCCGACGTGCCGTACGACTCAAATCGACGAGCTGATTGCGTAGGCTATCTGCCGAAGTCTACGATTTCTGATTGACACGTTCGCACAGCAGAGAGCCAGTGATCGGCTCACCGAGTTTGGCGATACTGCGTACCTAATTACAGGGGACAGACACAAGTCTCCTCGTTTCCCAGGCTTCCGCTCGTCTTTGTCATCGCCCAAATCAGTCTCGTCAAGTGGACCGGATCAATGATTTTCCTTGATCCAAATAAAACTCACTATTCCTTACTCCGACTCCGTATAAACACTCTGATCGCGTCCCACATGTTTTGTGGTCCCGACGATCGTGTCAAGTCTAGCTTGATTCGGCAGTTCGTCATCGTCGCAGGATCTTCGAAACATGAGAGATCTTTCAACTTTTGCTTACTAGGCGCATTTCTGGCTCTGACCACGTCATGTGTGCTTCTCCAACGTACTTTACATCGACGTCGACTAGGATGATTGCATTGAGACTCCGTCTCCGCTTCAATACTTCCAAACTGTGGCAGGCCCGGCGGGCGCTCACGAATCCCCGGAGACAGATGTCAGGCGTGAGTGCCATCGACTCTCGGGTCTTCCGAAATCTCTTTGGGACGGACCAGATCCGGAAGGTAGGTGACTGCAGTGGCTCAAACACAAGTCAACAACATATCCGATCGTGAAAACAAGAATTAGCTGACTGGAGTCCGGCTTCCAGGTATTCAGCGACACGGCCTATCTCGAAAGATGCGTCGAGGTGGAGATAGCGCTCGCGAAAGCTCAAGCAAGGGCGAATGTCATTCCGCACGACGCCGCAGAGCAGATAGCGAGCAAGGCATTGGCCTCGTCGCTTGACCTCGGCCGTCTCAGTGACGAAACCGAAATTGTAGGGTACCCGATCCTTCCCTTAGTGCGACAAGTCTCTGCCATGTGTGGGGAGTACGCGGGCAAATACCTACACTGGGGAGCCACGACGCAAGATATCATGGACACCGCGTCCATATTGCAGATCCAATCGGGCTTGTCCATCGTCGAAAGCAAACTTGGCGAGGTGATCAAGGCCACTGAGAGTCTCGCCGAGAGATACAAAGCAACGCCGATGGCAGGCCGAACCCACTTGCAGCATGCACTCCCGGTGACGTTTGGTTACAAATGCGCCGTTTGGCTTTCCAGCCTCTATCGACACCGCGAGAGGCTCGAGCAGCTGCGGTCCCGCGCCTTGATGGTGCAGTATGGCGGTGCGGCAGGCACCCTAGCTTCGCTGGGAGCCGGAGAAGCAGGATTACTTGTTCGAAAGGAGCTGGCCAACGAGCTTGGTCTGGTGAATCCTCCCATCTCATGGCACGTCGCAAGAGATGGTGTTGCAGAGACACTCAATCTACTTGCATTGATTGGCGGAAGCATTGGGAAAATTGCGCTCGACCTCATGATTATGTGCTCGAACGAATTTGCAGAGGTCGCAGAACCATTCGTGCCTCACCGAGGGGCATCGTCAACCATGCCACAGAAACGGAATCCCATCTCCAGCGAGTTGATGCTGGCGGCGTCGAAGGTCTTGAGATCAAATGCGAGCTTGGGGCTGGACGCAATGATCTCGGACTTTGAGCGAGCTTCCGGGCCCTGGCATCTGGAATGGGTGGCCGTTCCCGAAAGCTTTACCGTGGCAGTTGGAGCTCTGCACCAGGCAGCATTCGCCCTGTCTGGCCTCGTTGTCGATGACAAGCAGATGTTGGCAAACCTGAATTCTACTGGGGGCCTCATAGTCGGAGAGGCCGTCATGATGGGACTGGCACCACATATAGGCCGACAGAAGGCCCACGACACTGTATACAAGGCATGTCAGGAAGCCGTTGAGAACAGAGTGTCCTTGCTTGAGGCTTTGTGCCAGAGCCAAGATATTGTTGATGCATTGGGCATGGACGAGCTGAAGAAACTGTGCGATCCAGTCAACTACCTAGGATCCTCGACTCGCATGGTCGATGATGTCCTGGCGCTGAGAAAGTAACACTACATCCATCACCTAGTCATGCCAGAGTTTTTGCACCCGTCAATGCACTTTGCAGGTGATGAGCCAGCGATCATGAGATCCATGCTGACAATAGTAGTCTAGATGCCATCTAAATCTGATCTGAACGAAACCAAACTTGTGAACAGGTGGTGCTTATTGCTTCTTCCGATCCTCTGACGCCTCGATCAGACAGACGCTCCGCGTTTGCCCCGTTCATGCTGTTCCCAATAACTAGAATGTTTTCAGATCATCGGCAACGGTGAATGCAGCAGCTGTCTTGCTTTGGACCTCATCTACCGTCGTTCCCTCGGCCAGCTCAATCAACACCAGACCGTCCAGCCGGACATCGAATACCGCAAGGTCGGTGATGATTCGGGACACGCATCGCTTTCCAGTCAAGGGGAATGTGCAGACTGCGGAATCGTCAATGTCACCTCCCTGCCCGCTCCGAAAGGGGACTGCAACTCACCTGGAAGGATCTTGGGATTTCCTTTCTTGTCCACATGGTCCTGATCATTGATCTCAGTTCTAGAATCCGCACATCACGAGAAAGCCACGTACCATGAGAACGACAACTTTTGTCTCTTGTGGGTTCGCCACGAGATCCATCGCGCCCCCAATACCTTTCACCTTTCCTGGAAGCATGAAGTTTGCCAGATCTGTAAAATTTAGTTCTCGTTGTTGGGATTCACCTTGGACTTCTGAGCTTAGTTACCTCCGTTCGCGCTGACCTGCAGCGCTCCAAGCATGGTCAAGTTGATTTTCCCGGCTCTGATCATGCCAAAGCTTTCATGACTCCCGAAGACAGATGCGCCCGGGTTCAGAGTGACGGTCTCTTTACCCGGATTGATGAGATCCGGGTCCTCTGCGCCAGGATCGGGGTATCTGCCCATTCCCAACATGCCGTTTTCCGATTGAAGCACGACCTCGACCCCTTCCGGAACAAAGTCGGGTGCCAGCAGAGGCATGCCAATGCCGAGATTGACATACATGCCATCCTTGAGCTCCTGAGCGGCTCGCTTCACAATACGCTCTCTCCTAGCCGACGCGCCAGCCACTGGTCCGTCAGGATGTGTACCACTGTTGAAATGATTGCACAACCGCGAGTGACTCACCTTGCTTCAACTTCTCCTCCGGGCTTTTTGCGAACGTCAGCTTCTCAATTTCCTTGGGCACCGTCGCTTTGATGACCCTGTCGACATAGATTCCTTGCAGGTGAATGTCCTCGGGAGCAATTTCCCCGGCCTCGACCAGATGGTCCGCTTCGACTATTGTCAGCTTTGCGTTTTTCCCCATGACCTCGTTGAAATTGTTCTGCGCTTTACGAAATCGGCAGTTCCCCATCCGATCGGCCTTGTCGACCCTGATCAACGCGACATCTCCGAAGATCGATTCTTCCAGCAGATACTGCTTGCCTCTGAAAGTTCGTGTCTCGCGGGGTTTGGACATGAGATCGATGGAGCCGTCGCGCTTGTATCTCACTGGGAGTTCTCCCGTCTGCACTGTAACCGATCAAAAAAGCGTGAGCCCCCGATCCTGCCTCCGAAGAAGATGGCCATCAAGGTTTTTTTCTTACCGATACTTCCGTACGCAGCTGGCGTGTAAAATGCAGGTACACCAGCTGCGCCGGCTGCACACCTCTCCGCCATTGTCCCCTGGGGCGTGAGTTCCAACGAGAGCTCTCCAGACAGATACATGGACTCGAACTTTTTGTTTTCGCCGATATACGAGGCTATCATCTTGCCGATTTGCTTCGTGTCCAGTAGTTGACCTGCGCGTGCCTGCATGTATTAGTTGCCGTTTCCAACTGTCGAACTCGATGCGAATGATTGCTGACCGAGTCCTATCCCCGGCATTCCAGCATTGTTGGACACCACGGTGAGATCCTTGATCTCCGGCTGGTCGCGAAGCGCGTTGATCAGTGTCATCGGTACGCCAGAGAGTCCAAACCCGCCGACGAGGACAGTGTCACCACTCCTGATGTCAGCAACGGCTTTGGAGGGCGAATCGAAGAATTTGTTGATCCGAAGTCGCACATGGCTGTTGGAAAACGAGCGACGTTGAGGCACGAGGAATGGTACTGGGTTTCTCATGCCCCGATGGCAAGGTAGGAGGAATATCTGCAATTTCGACATGGTGGCTCGACGGTTTTCGAAACTCGATATCCAAGAAAGAAATCCAAGGACTAATTACAACATGACACAGTAGAAATGGTTCAGCCTCTTCGACTGACTTCACATGGAGCAGGGACATGAGCTTCTGCCAGCTTGTCGCAAGACCGGTTTCCCACCTGGACATTAGGCATGTACGAAGTAGTTAGGGAGGGTTCCGGGGCTCGAGTGCCCCACCCGCAATCCCCCTTAGGCACCGAAGGGCGCCTGGAAGATCGGATGGCGAAGGCCACCCGGGGAAGCAACAGCTCGCTAATTTCCAGATTGGAACGATGAACCCACATACCAAACCCTGCGTGCCCTTGCCATGAGGGATCCTGTCTTTAGATGCACTATGAGAAGCTTCTCATTCGGCTTTTTCAGATCGATCTTGGGCCAGCTGCAGCTGGCATATATTTTTGTTTGGGGAGGGATTGTCCAGCATGGTTCCCGGCACGGTGGCTAGACGACAACTCTCACGATTGACCTCCAAAGCGCGTTGTCCTCCTTCCAGAAGGCTGGGAACTTTGTCCGCCGAGAAGAGCCTCCCCTTGCAGGGCATCACGGTCGTCGATCTCACGAGAGTTCTAGCTGGGGTGAGCTGGTTTGCCGTCGTCATTTGTAGTGCCTTTTGCTAACAGACATATTCTCAGCCCTACTGCACCCAAATCCTCGGAGACCTGGGGTGAGTGTAATTATGCGAATACTGTAGCACCGGACCTGCTCCTCTGTACTGATTTCCTCAACGTGCCGATATCACCAAGATCGAACACCCTGTGCGCGGCGACGACACGCGACAATGGGGGCCCCCATACGCCCCTTACCTCGATGGAAGGAGCGGCCCTGGAGAGAGTGCATATTACCTCTCGGTAAGAGAACAAAGGAGCAGTCTTCCAGTGGTGGATTTCGATAATCGAGCTGACATGCAAACAACTCAAGGTCAATCGCAACAAGAAGTCCTTGGGTGTGTCATTCCAGCATCCAGAGGGTGCTGAGATCATTCGAGAGCTTGCCAAAACCGCCGACGTGTTTGTGGAAAACTTTCTGCCGGGGACGCTGAAGAGATATGGGCTGGATTTCCCGACATTGCAGAAGACGAACCCTCGCCTGATATACGCCAGTATCACGGGCTACGGTCAGTACGGGCCATACAGTGACCGGGCCGGATATGACGTGATGGTGGAAGCGTGAGTTTTGACGTTTGCTCTTTACATGGCCAGCAAGAACTGACTGTATCGTCAGAGAGATGGGATTGATGCACATCACCGGTACGAGAGACGGACCACCGGTCAAAGTCGGATGCGCAGTCACGGATTTGACCACGGGCATGTACGCCTGCAACAGTATCATGGCGGCACTTCTCGAGCGACACAACTCAAACCGAGGTCAACATCTGGACGTGTGTCTGAGCGATTGTCAGGTGGCCACGTTATCGAACATGGCTGAATCCGTCCTGATATCGAAGAAGAGGGACAGTGGCAGATGGGGCACCGCACATCGTATGACTGGCCGTTCAAGTGTCGTCTCTCTTTTTATCCCCTTCCGCTGACTTGGTTTTAGCTTCTGTTGTACCTTATCGAGCCTTCCGAACGTCCGACGGTGACGTTCTTTTCGGCGGTGGCAACGATCGTCTCTTCGGAATCCTATGCGCAGGGCTAGGCAAGCAGGAATGGGCCAGTGATGCGCGCTTCGCCACGAATGCCGCGAGAGTTGCAAACCGAGGCGTCTTGGAACCAGCCATCGAGGAGATCACGAAGCAGAAAACGACGCAAGAGTGGCTAGACATTTTCGAGGGCACGGGTCTTCCGTATGCCAAAGTCAATGACTTGATGGACACGCTCAATCACAAACACGGTGAGTATCCCGATACGGTTTTTTCAGGATTCCAGCTCACCGTCATCCTCAGTCCGAGCCCGAGAGATGGTTGTTTCAGTAGATCACCCGAGCTGCGGTGTGATGGACCTGGTCAATACGCCGGTCAAATATTCACGATCCAAACCTTCGATACGATCGCCGCCGCCCCTCCTTGGTCAACACACGGATGAGATCCTTAGCGCAAGTCTAGGCTTTGACCCCCAGAAGATCCATGAATTGAGAGCCCGTGGCGCAGTCGGTTAAAAGGGCATCGGCAACGCTTTGCTCGCGGCGACAGGCGGTGATAGAGTTTTCGGGCACGGCGCAATGGTGCTAGACGGAACTCGTGGCACTACAGGTACGACTCTAGATATGTACAAAACAGGGAATCATGCATGTATGGTTGGTTTAACACTCAATGCCAGTGCACCGAGACGGTCCAAAAAAAGCCGTCGCTGCGTGTGGGGCCGTGTTGGCCTAGGGGTGACTGCGACTGTTGCGGCGATTGAATAATACAGTACTATACATACCCCCTGCTTACAGATCAGCCGGAGGGACCTAGGTACTGTAGTCCCCACGATGCGTCCATCGTGTTCTCACTAGGCCAGCTCCCCACATTGAGCTAGTAGTCGCTCAAGCAATCAAGAAATGAGATTTGCGGCATAGTCTGCTCCTGGATTCGGGCTGATTACAGCGGAGTGTCCTTGTCTTGGTAGAACCTCAAGAGCAGAGGCTAATGCCAAGTCCCAATATTTCGTACGTGAGAATGATGAATCTGAGATCGCCAGCCTAGCTCGACCGCTTCCTCACTTTTGAGCGTTGATTCGCTTCCGAGATTGTTGCAAGAGAGCCATGGCTCAGAAGAGAAACGTGACGTTCGCGCAGGAGTTCGCGGCCGGTAAGTGAGAGGCTGAGCAAAACGCCGTGGATCTGCACTAATCAGGAACCCGTTTGATTTCCAGGAGCCGGAGCAGGCGTCTCAGAGGTATGCAGTGATGCCCCGTCGTTGCACGGATGGTAGGGAGTTTGTTGCTAACTGACATTGCGCTGCCGGTATCCTCAGATTCTGATCATGTTCGAAGCGTCACAATGACCACAGGGAAGAAAAGACTGGTTGACACATCCTGCGTAGGTATCCTCTGGATGTCGTCAAGACGAGGCTGTACGTACTGGGGATACAAAAGTCAACTACCTACGGTAGTTACTTGATCAACACACGTATCTGACTCCCCTGGAAGACAGCTCCAGCAATCGAGGGGTATGTCGACAGAGTCCTACCGCGGCGTGGTGGATTGCTTCTCCAAGATCATCAGACATGAAGGGTAAAGTACCGTATCCAATCCAGCGCCCAGAGCAGATGGCCAATGATGTACATGGCAGGTTCGGACGCTTGTATCGCGGGATTGCGGTTCCAATCCTGATGGAAACGCCCAAAAGGTCTGTTCTGGCTCTCTCTGGCCCTTTTAAGAAACACACATTGCCTTGCGCAATCACGCTGACAACGCACTGGGTACTGTTTATATTTCCAGAGCCGTCAAATTCTCCTCCAACGACATCTTCACCAGGCAGTACCTGCGATGGCTTGGGGTCCCGAAGGTGGATCAGACCGTGGCGCTGCTTGCCGGCTCGAGTGCCGGTGCGGTCGAGGCAGTCGTGGTCACGCCGTTCGAGCTTGTCAAGGTCCGGCTACAGGACCCCGCTGCCGCGAGTCGATACCAGTCTGTGACCCAGTGTCTGGCGCAGATCGTCAAGACCGAGGGACTGCTCGTGCTGTACCAGGGCTTCGAGGTGACCTTGTGGCGCCACGTGGTCTGGAACGCCGGGTATTTTGGCAGCATCTTCAAAGTCAAGGCGGCACTACCCACGCCCACGACGGACTTGGAACAGGCAATGACCAACTTCCTCACCGGTTCGATCGGAGGGAGTCTGGGCACGCTGCTCAACACGCCACTGGACGTGGTCAAGACGAGAATCCAGGCAGCCACGAGAGCGAAGGGCATGACGGTGACGGCCAAGTATAATTGGGCGTTTCCGGCTTTGGTCACCGTGGCGCGAGAGGAGGGCATTCGGGGTCTGTACAAAGGTCTCACGGCAAAACTGCTCCGGTTCTGTCCGGGAGGGGGGATCTTGCTGGTCGCGCACAGCCAGATCTTGAAGTTGTTTGAGGCTTCCAATAATGCAAAGCTGGCGAAGCAGGATTTGTAACGATACAGCAGTGGATACGGCTTTACTTTCTAAAAATGGTTCAAGTCGACGTGTCGTGTTCATGGTTCAATATCACATGGTATTTGGTACTTACTGTCGAAGATGAAAATCGACAATGTCTCCGTGCGGACCCAGACCTAGGTGGCTCGTAATCAGACGCGATGATGTATAGAAGCATTTGCTGTCTGGCTGACGTGCCAAAAGTTTCTGCACCAAAGAGGTCGTAGAAACGACTCTCCCTCAGGGTTCAGGGACATCCACCCTAAGACGTTTCCTGGAGACTGTGGTTCACACATGACCGCCCTTGGCACGCATTCGGCCACCGTACATGTGAAGAACAACAATGATGCCTACAGACACACCGACAATAGCAGCCTGTGTCCCAAAAGATCCGTCATATCCGACCTTCGCGCCCCATTGCACCTGGAAATACCCCACAGAGAAGCCACTGATTGCTCTGGAGAAGTTCAAGAGAGCATTGACTTCTCCAGCCGCGACGGGGTACGCGTCCAGCAGATAAGCAGTCAGTGAGACGGACGCGGTCAGTGTGCCGGCCGTATACAAACCCCAACCGATGATGATTGCACTGTAGTGGAGCGTATGCTGCAAGGCCTCGCCGAGGATGATGAGGCCGGGAACCATCATGCCGGCTGCGATGTAGTTGGTGACGAGACGCGCTTCGGGAACAAACACTCCCTGGTGCCTTTTGATGTACCGGTTGGCAAGCCAGTCGTTGAAGTAATGACCCCAGATTTCCGCCAGGACCGTGCCGACTGCCGGTGTCAGACAGATTGCTCCAAGTGCGTTTGGCCCAAAGCCATATCCACCGGCTTCTTTGGGGACAGTAAACAAGATTGACGTGCCGATGTTGATCCCCACCGCCCACATGATATTAATGCCACTAGAGAGACATGGTTAGCCCGGTGTTTGTGTACATATAAAGGTGTATCCTCACAAGTAGATCATACTCGGAATGATGATAGGTTTAACGAAAACTCGGAAAAGTCGATGGAAAGACTCTGGGATGGACAGGAAATATCCCTTCCGGACCGTAGATTGCCAAATACCAACGACGCGGAGGAGTCGGTGACCGCGAGCCGGCTGATCTTCGATTGGGACATCGCGCCTGTACCAAGTCTCGTCCGAGAAGAGGACGATGAGAGCCAAATTGGCACAACACAATGCAAATCCCAACCACAGACAGCCCAGATATGATCCAGTGCCCGCGATGATGAAGTTGCCAAAGGGCGGGCCGAGGTAAGGACATGTCAGGAAGATAGCGGCCCAGATACCAATCTTGCGAGCATGTTGATGGAAGTAGAACATGTCCTTGATAAAGTTCAGGCCGATGCCCTGGACCGAGGACAGACAAAACCCTTGCAACGCCCGGAGGGCATAGTACGTGTCGAAGTCATCCGTAAGGACGGTGCCCAGAGAAAAGAGTGTTCCGGCTAGAGTCGTCCAGAACAAGACCGGAGCACGGCCCCAGAAATACACGAACGGAACCCAAAATATGCCGCCGATGGCCCTGAAAAGACAATTGTCAGATATGATCTCTCAGATTTCAACGTCGAACTACTTACAGCATAAGCACGTTAAGATTGTTGTTGTAGTTGACGACCGCGGGAGACAGGTTCCATTTGATGCCCTGCAAGATGATGGGAGGGATTCCCAAGGTTGACGTGATATCACCCAGGCCAGCCGCGATGCCCAGGATGACAAGGATCATATGCTTCTTGAAGGGTGACCAGTTCAGAGGGTCATTTGGATCTTGTGACGGCTGTGGAATCAGGACTGTCTGGAAAGGAGTCAACTCTATGGAGCTTGCGTGACTGGGAACAATGAATATTGCTCTTACATGTCCGTCCTTAGCCAATTTCAAGGTACTAAGGAGAGCACCATCAACGTGGCCGGCAGTGACATCGAGCAAGACAGCCTCGTTGCCAAGGTTAATAGTCGGTCGCTCGAGATGGGTTGTTTCGGGTTCGAGGTTGCTTGAGGACTTCTCGATGTCGACCTCAGAGTTAGTCTTGGGCGTCATGGCTGCGGGTTTCGGCGAAAGTTGACGAGCTGGATTCGAAAGCTCATCGACCAGCTTCCGCCACCAGGGTATGGCAAGCCATATTTGTAGCCTCTTGCCTAGATCGGTGTCTGGGGATTGCTTGCGTCCTTCTCCGGACGAGGTTATACCCCAGAATGCTGGAATCTGTGCTAGCGCCCCCACCCCGTATTGCACGTTGATGTATAGGGTCTGCCCAGTGCATTGCATTCGCAGCCCGCGAACAAGCGAGTCTGGGGTTGTGGTAACCTCTTTGCACTATTCGTGAGAGATATCCGAAAGGAACCGCCAGCCAACTAGCCATTTTCGCGAATGCGGTCGGCCTGTGGGTCGACGAAGCAAGGCTGCATCAACGAACGCGCCCCTGCCTCAGCGCCTTGCACAGCAGGGCGTAGGGTGGCCAGACCGATCCGATAGCGAACACATGAGAAGGAAACCAAACCCATGGGTCTCCAGCTGGACCGAACCAGTAGCGAACAGTCACTGACACGAGAATTAGATCATGTCCCCAGGAATTCCTCCGGTCGGGTCGGAGGGGGTGGGGTAAACCTGGAGCACCGACGCATGCCCGTGGGTGCTCCGTGTCATTTGCGGATCTTTCTCTGGAGGCTTGCGCTACTCCGTACCCGAACAGTTTGTGCGGCGTGACCTTTGGCGAAGGCGAGCGGCCTGGATGGATCTACTGTATATGTACAGGGACGGTTGCGCATGCTTCAAGTCAAGGAGTATGTCTTGCTTGTCGTGAGGCCGTAGATATGGTCCCTGGAAAGAGGAAGTCGGGAAATTCGTCGTCGTCCACTGTGGTGGTCTTCTTGCGTGAGGCTTGTGTGAGCGCGATCTCGACCGGAACCTGGTCTGTATTAGCTGCTGTTGCGTTCTCCTTGTTACACCTGCACTGAACCTAGATAACGCACTGCACACCATAGCTCTAATTTGACAGAAGCGCAGGCCCCAGGAACCCCCCAGTGCGGAGTGGCCGTTGAACAGCCCCAGATCAAAAGCAATGAATGTCTCCCCGGCTTCTTCCGTGAGCTCCCCGGAAATTCAGCGGTGGACGGCACGTGACCCACGAGGCACTGTGCCAAGGGACAGACCTGCTAGTGAACCGAGTACGAGGTAGTGCAGATAACAGAGGCAGCCATTGGTTGTTGGTGCGTTGCGTGGCTACTAGTGCTTCTTTTCACTGCTTAACGCGCTTCAGCAGAGCACAACGGCGGTCTTCAGAGTTTGACTTTTGGACGCACTCGGCGGCTGAGCCTGGACTGTCACGCTGTGTGCGAAACAACCAACTTGAACCCCGCTTCTCCATCCCTCGGCGCATCCTTGGCGGGATTGAACTCCGTTCTGATGCGTCGCTTTAACGAGTGGCGTCACCAATCAATTGCAGTTCACTTGGTACTTGTAACTTTGCTCAGACCATTTCGACCATTCCTTGTACTTCCCTTTTCAACGGAGACTCCTACGCTTGCCCTTTGCGCTGCCACTTGATCCAGCGACACTTGCCTACAGCTATTGTCAATTCTGTCTTGCCTCTCGGATGCTCTGCTCCGTTTGAGTCCAGGGCCACCTGATGTACTCGCCCCCAGCCGCAGTTCGAAACCGCCTGTTCAAATGTCTGGAAAAGAGCGGCCGAAACATCGATGTAGCCAATGCTTGAAAGAGTTCTCACGCAGTGAACACCTCCAACGCCATCGCCAAATCCGTAAGCCTGGCAAACAATCCCAATCCTCAGCCCCAACACTAAGACTTTGCACGTCAGATAATCCATTTCGTTCTTACTCTTGCGGAGTCTGTTCGCAAAAATTCGCGCGAAAGTAGGTCGATACGGTTCCATTTGGCCGACAGCCATGACTAAGCGTTGTGCCCCCAGGGATGCGCTGAAGCGCCATGAAAAGAGTCATGGTGTCTTGCCGCCGGTCGGCGCACACATGGGTCCAAATAATGGTCTCGAGCCGCTCGCGCTTACCAGAACAATCGCCGCCTGCGACCGTTGCGCAAGGATGAAAGTACGATGTGATGGAAAGTCTCCTTGCGGCCGATGCCACAAGCAGAAGTCAGTATGCACTCTAGAAAGAGATCACGTCGCATTCAAAAGATTAAGTGTCGACCCGTCGTTGCGTGAGCGAAGGCTCTCTGGAGTCCGTGAAAGAACACGAGCAGGCCCAGAGAATGATGCGTCGAGATCGCTCACCAATGTAGATAGCCCTTCCCCTTCCTTCTATAACATCTACCCTCCAGCTGACGCACCTTCAAAGAACGACCCTTCACTGGCCACAGGAACGTGCATGGCCGATGGCACACTGCTTCCTAGCGTTGCCGATGCAACCGGGGATTTCCAGTTCACGGAAACCCTATACACGCTTGCAAATGAAAATCAATCCTCTTCAAGAGAGGCGCCAAATTCAGACTCAGGATGGCAAGGCAACGAGTCCTCGGTGGCTGGCACCTTTAGCCCTGCCTGGGATGACTTTTCGCTCTTTTTCGATGAACAGGGCGGACCGGGTCTTTTTCTCGACACATCATATTCAGCTGACCCCTTACATCCCGCTCAAATCAATCCAACGGGCGAAAGTCCTCAAGACCACATGCAAGGCTCAGATGTAGCGACCGACGACCGTGAGAGGTATGACAACTATCCTCAGCTTTACAAACCCGACCCAAGGGGAAATCCACTCAGGACTTCCGTCATCTGTGATTTTCTTCAGAACAAGCAGGCCTGGGCAAAGGTGGATGAGTTCGGCCAGTCCCGGAACAATCATTCCGTCATCACCATTCCAGAAGAAGTCCGAGACTCGATCATGGCAACTATCCATATCGTCCTTGCCAAAGTGCTCGACAAAGACCAAATGGGGAAGATACCGACGACATTCCCACCGTTGAGGACGGTCCAGGTCATTTTTGATACATATCTCTCCCGCCTGGCCTTGTTCTATCCCATCACGCACCCTGGCACGTTGAATCAGAATCATACGATGCAGTACAACGGCCCTGGAATGCAATTGCAGCTTCTGAGTACATTCGTGTCTGGGGCGCTGATGATCCCTGTAACCGAGGTCCAGACCTTTGCGACCGACCTGGCAAGCATTATCTTGCAGGTCCTGTACGAGATCTTTCTGAGGGATGCAAATCAGACCAAAGACATGTATCTCACCAGCACCGCAATCTTGATAACTGCATTTGGTATATGGTCAGGAAACAAGAGGCAGATGGAACTCGCGGAAGCGCTGAGAAGTTCATACACGACGGCAAGTTCGTCGCTCCCAACCTGGCATGGCTAATCGTGATGGCAGATGATGTCTCGACGAGGACTGCACGAAAGAGCCCACCAAAGAATAGTCGAGATCAATCTTTCCGATGTTGAGCTCGAGTGGAAGGACTGGCTCATGAAGGAGACACGCAGGCGGTACGCGGTATGCTTTGTGAACAGCGATTGTGTTGCTAACATGCGTGTTCCAGATTGGCATATGTGTGGTATGTCGTGGAGCAGGAGATCAGCCTCTTCAATGGGGTACCCACGACACTGTCCTTTACCGAGATGCGCTGTCCAATGCCCAGCAATGAGGCAGTGTTTGCTGCTTCCAGTGGTGAAGCATGGAAGGATCTGCTTCAAGTGGGCCAAAATGAGCTACCCATGTCCAACTCATCGCCAGTTGCGGCATTAAAATGTCCGCATTCACTGGCCGCGTTTCATCGGCGTTTCCTCTATGGGAACATTTTCCAGTTTCAGGACGCCGTGACCCCCTTTGAGGTCCGTTTGCTCCTGTGCACCATTCAAACGCTTGTGTCTCAGTACAGCCAAACCAAGAGGTTTGTGCCCGAAGAAGAGGAGTTTTCTCCTGCGGCATGCACAATATCGGCTTCCACCGAATACGGCCAGCTTCGACGGGAGGAGCTTCATTTTCTCCTGGTCAAGTGGCATCTCTTGTATCGACGTGTCATGCCACATGCCACTCCCATACGTTGCGGTACCGACTTGTCGTGCATTCTAATGGCACACTTGATAGCCATGGAGCTCTATGTTTCATTTGATGACGTGCAACTCTTTGCAGGGAAGGAAGGCTTCATGGAAGGCAGAATGCTGATGCCTTCATTCAAGAGGTGGGCAAAAACTTCAGGTGCAGCACGAGCACTTCTCCATGCAGGGCAAATCATGCGTACCCTGTCAACCGTCGCAGCAGATACTGCCAGACCGTTGTGGTGGCCGTTGGCGGTGGCACGAGCGGCTTTGCTACTCTGGGCCTACGGTATGGCGGAACAAACCGACGCTGGCAACATGGGTGACCACGACTATAGCCCTGAGCCATCTCTTTTTGACTCTGAGCGGCGTTCAACCAAGCAGTACCACAATCTGGACCCAATCGACGGGCCACTTGAAGACTCTGCCTTGTTTTCTGGTTCTCTAATCGGCTATTGGGACAAAGGAATGACGCCATGCTTGACAGCGCCCAACGGAGGCTTTGTCCCTCTTCTGCAAACCTCAGAGACCCTCGGACTAAGCATATCACGCCTGCGCGATGGAGAGAGTGTCAGCACACCTCTTTGCAGATCTGTTCGGACATTCTTACAAGACATCCAGGGTCTGGGAGTCACTTACCCCGGGTTGCCCAAGCGTGGCATGTCGATGCAACAACATCAGAGGCATGACATCGGCACAGCCTCTTGAGACTTTATCGTGTACTCTCAATTCCGAAGTTACAGTATTCAATTATCAGAAGCCCACTCGAAAGAGACGACTCCAAGATATCTGTAGTAGCTCCGACTACCCTGGACCCGATGTTCTTGCCGGTTGTTGAAGTTACAAAGTCGCGGCTTTTGGTTGCAGAGGCATCTTGCGTGTTCAAGCTGAGAAGGAACTTGATCTTAAGGCTGCACGGAGTATGTATGGCACCGAGACCATCTCAGCCACATACGCCACAATATGTGGCAGGTCTCGGTCTGTGTCAGCAGGGGAGACTGTGCATGCCTCGCAAATTCCTATTCTGCAAACACGGCCCGAAATGACCCCCTCAACCTCCGACACACCCTTCCAGGCATAGACTGGGGACTCGTCTTCGAAGGTCTGGTTCCACCGTGTGTCTCATACCACGTCCAACGTAAGAAGCTTTCCCTTGCTTCCTGTCGGTGAACGCTGGATACATAAGACTTCTCTCCGCTGCATATACGTAGTCTGTTACCGCAGCCTTGACACCGACATGATTGCAGATACTACCGACATCCCGTTTACAGGTCCCGATGGCGACAGTCAGTGCAGGGTCATCGACACCGATGCGCTTGTCGTTGGCGTAGGCCCGGCCGGTGCTTCGTTGGCATGTTTTCTAGGATCACAAGGTAGGGACGTCCACGACGCAATCCCTAGACGCGCGCACAACTCACAAAACATTACAGGGATACAAGGCATCATCATTGGAAACGCGTCAACCACTGCCGACACACCAAGAGCGCACATCACCAATATGGCCGCCATGGGTAAGTGCTGCCTCCATTTCAACAGGAACTCTAACTAAAGTCGCAAATGGAATGCCTGAGGGATATTGACCTCGAGAGAGACTGTAACCAAGTGGCCAGCCACAACGAAAGCATGCAACACGTCAGATGGGCGTACTCGTTCGCAGGGGAAGAGTTCGGCAGGATGTATTCATGGGGCAACGACCCCGAGCAGAAGGTATCAGACTGTCTGGTAGAAGCTTGCCTGTTCTCGCTGACCTTGTTCACCCGTCAAAGGGCGATTACGAGAAAGCTAGCCCTTGCGTACCGGCAGATTTGCCTCAAACACTCCTGGAGCCCATCCTGGTCCGTTATGCAACACTCCATGGGTTCAAATGCCGCTTCGATACCGAATATGTTTCATCCACCGAAGACAAGGACAGCGGTCGCATCCTGGTGTCGCTCAAGGACAAGCTCAACGGCGTCGGTTTTCAAATCCGCTGCCGATATCTGTTTGGTGCCGACGGGGCCCGAAGCCGTGTCGCCAAGCAGATAGATCTGCCGTTGGTCCAGAAGCCCGACAAGGGCATCGCGTACAATGTACTTGTCAGAGTGGACATGGCTCACCTGATGGATGCTCGTATGGGCAATCTGCACTGGATCATGCAGCCAGACAAGGAGCACCCCGATTGGGCATGGATTTGCGTCGTGCGAATGGTGAAGCCGTGGTACGAATGGATGTTTGTCGTCTTCCCCGACCGGAAGGCAGCATGGGTGGACCACAAACCCACCAACGAACAATGGCTGGCTCGGATCAAGGAGTTCATCGGCGATGACTCCATTCCTGCCGAAATCATCGGTGTCTCGAAATGGCGGATTAACGACACTGTTGCTGAGCAATACTCGAAAGGGAACGTGTAAGTGTCATTTCACGACATCCCCTCACAAGGCCCTGAGCCCGGTGATTGCAACAGCTTACATGTGATCAGGTTCTGCCTGGGAGATGCCGTTCACCGACACCCGCCCATGAACGGTCTCGGGTCCAATACGTGCATCCAAGACGCCTTCAACCTCGGGTGGAAAGTCGCATATGTTCTCAAAGGTCTTGCTGGGCCGGAGCTGCTCGACTCCTACAGTGCTGAACGTCAACCGGTGGGCAAAGGCGTGGTTGCAAGGTGTGTATATGCCCGTCCATCCCATGGCTTCCCAACTTTTCCAAGCCCGTCGTGCCAATGAACTTTACTTCTAGGGCAAATCAAGGTTTCAGCGACTACGGGCCGCTATGGGACAATCTGGGAGTTTTGGAGGATGATATCGAGAAGCGAAGACAAATCTGGCACGAATTATCGGAGAATTCCCCCGTAGGTCGAAAACGGCGACAAACCTTTCAAAAGACCCTGCACGCCACGAAATCCGAGATCCAAGGACTGGGCATCGAGATGAACCAGCGATATACCGCCGCTCAAGCTGCCGTCTACGGAGACGATGAGGAGTCCAAGTCTCCACCAGACTTTACCAGAGATGCCATCCGCTACTACGAGCCGTCCACGTACCCGGGATGTCGCGTTCCTCACGTCTGGCTTACGACACTCGTGCCGGGGAAGAAGATCTCCACAATCGATCTCAGTGGCAAAGGCCGATTCACCTTATTCACCGGCATCGGTGGGCGAGAAGCATGGCAGAGCGCTGCGGCGAGAGTCAAGCAGGAATTGAAGACTCCCATCGAGGTGTTCAGCATCGGCCACAGGCAGGATTACGAGGATATCTACATGGACTGGGCCCGGCTACGGGAAGTCGATGAGGACGGTGTGGTCCTGGTCAGACCTGATCGGTTTGTCGCGTGGCGGAGCAAGAGCATCCCAGAGGATTGTGAGGGCAAGTTGGTCAAAGTAATGCGCCGCATTCTATGTCTTTGATGGGATGGATTGATGGGGGGAATTCGCTCCTTCTGCCAACATCGCCGTAATAGAGACACACAGCTACCACATACGATAGATAATCAAATCCACAGTTGAGTTTGTCCGTGTAGCCACCTCGACGACGAGACTGGTTCCGTACTGCACACGGTCAGTCACCTGTTTGAAGCATCGGGTCAACTTTGCCAAATGCTAATACTAGACGTCACGCACCGGTCACTGGCCGCGAATTGTGTGCCAGAGCAGAGACGCGCCATGCCCGTCCGAGTTACGTACGCTCGATGGAGGGTTCAATGCTCCCGCACTCAGCACCCCGCATGGAGCCGATCGATCTCTCTCTCCAGGAAAATGCGCACTCCATCTGGAGTACTCCGTAGAGAAGCAAAGAGCCGACTTCCACGTCCATGTGGGGAGCGTGTGCGTGTGCGCGTGTGCGTATGTGTGTCCGCTATGCCGTTTATGTCCTTGTGTGCCTGGATTGCCTCTTTCAGTCTTGCGCAGCACAACCGGACCAGTTAGCAGTGCGGGCCGCCCGATAAGGAACAGTGCGCCCCATTTTATGTTGCTGCTGTACTGTGAAGAGGACTCCGGAGGCCGGGCCCAGGGACACGGATTGCGCACGAAGCCACGGCCTATCATGTGGACAGGTGCCCCCTTTAGAATTGCTGCATCAGGTATGGTCGATCGTGTGGGCTTTCCCCAGAGTTAAGTCGTTAGACCATAGCCGAGCATGCCGGGGTTACCTTGGGACGGAGTAACCCAACCATTGACGAAACCCGTGACCGGCACATGTGTGGGGTGCCGCGCCTTTGAACAGTCGGGCCGGAGGAGGGAGCATCGACTTTGTAGGGTGCTATTCCTAAGGAGCTCTCAGCACCTTGGCCGCATGGGATAGCGTTGAAAAAGAAAGAGCCCGAAGTCGTTGCTTGCTTGCTTGTTGCTTGCTTTGGTTGCCTGCTTGCTTTGCTGCCAACTCTGTTCCAAAAAACGCCCGTCTACATACACTCACTCCCCTCACACAGTAGATATCATACAACATGTTGGTCAACACGATTATCGACACGGTTGGGTACCTTCTCCACCCGGTGGTTGCGGTCCTTGCGCTGCCCTTGCTCTTGGTGGCTCTCGAGTTGATATGGGTCATCTACGCCAGGAAGTTCCATCCCCTTGCAGGTGTTCCAGGGCCATGGCTCGCCTCTGTGAGTCGCTTGTGGGTGATGCGCCGGCTCAAAGTCGGGGATATGGACAGAGTGCAGCGCAACCTCCATCACAGATACGGGCCCTTGATCCGGATCGCTCCCAACGAGTTGTCCTGTTCTGATCCAGAGGCCATCAAAGTTCTCTACAGGACGGCGGCGCCCCTGACAAAGACGGATTTCTACCCCGTCTGGGGCAACCCACGCATGTCCAAGTATCGGGACAACTTTTCTCAGGTCGATGAGAGGCTTCACTCGGAGCGACGACGGATTGTCAATCACGTGTACAGCTTGTCCAACGTCCTTCAGTCCGAAGCTTCCATCGACAGGGTCACGACCGTCATGGTGGACAAGCTCACTCAGCTGGCTCAAAGTGGTCGCGACTGTGACTTGGGAACCTGGGTCCAGTGGTAAGTGTCACACGCCGTAGAACCCATGGGTTTTCTCCAGCCAACTCTTTGACAGGTACACCTTTGATGTCATTGGGGAACTCTTCTTTGGTCGAATGTTTGGATTCCTGGAGCAAGAAACTGACTATAAGTCCTGGATCTCTTCCTTGGATGCTCTCATGCCCGGATTCTGTCAAGTCGCCGTCGCACCTACCTATCTTCGACCGTTCATCCTCCTGTCGTCGCTGTTCGACTCCAAGATGAAGGCCGCGATCAAATGCACCGAGACCATGGAGGTTGCAGCTAGGGAAGGTGTTGCGCGAAGGCAGGCAGAGCTTGACCAGGGATCCTCGACCTCGGACAGCCGAGACTTGCTTCAGCAACTATTCAACATCCAGCGAGAGAAGGGCGAAAAGGTGGATTTCTCCAGGAGAGAAGTCGAGCAGGAAGCATACATCGCGCTGTGAGTATCCTCCTTTGCCCTCTTGGTTCCAAACTCGACTCGACTCGGGCACTGACTGGTTTATCTCTCCACCCCCAGGCTAGCTGGCTCGGATACCACAGCGATTGCCATCCGGTCGATCTTTTACTACATTGTCAAAGATCGGAAAGTATATGAACGACTCCGCGCAGAAATTGACAAGGCCAATGCTTAAGGAGAGCTGTCTTTCCCGGTCAAGTATGCGCAGGCGCTTAAATTGCCATATCTGTGTGCTTGCATCAAAGAAGGCATGCGTATGCATCCAAGTGTCGGCTTGACCTTGCCAAGGTTGATGCCCCCAGGGGGCTTACAATTCAATGGCAAATATGTTCCTGAAGGTTACAGAGTCGGCATCAACGCTGCAGTGATCCATTTCGACCGAAAGGTTTTCGGCGACGACGCGCACCAGTTCCGACCGGAAAGCTGGCTCGATCCAGCTGCTGCTGCCAACATGGATAGATACATGTTCCAGTTTGGTTACGGCACCAGAACATGTATCGGGAAGAATGTAAGAGTTACCTGTCCACAACGTGATGATGAAGAAGAGCTAATTTGCCCTGCATAGATCTCGTTGGCAGAAATGCACAAGCTTGTTCCAACAGTTCTTACCAAACTGGATATTGAATGGAAGGATCCAGGAAGAAATTGGTCAACAAAGAATCATTGGTTCGTCAAGCAAACCGGTATCAACGTTCGACTGAAGATGCGATATTAAGTGGCAAAGACCATGGCGGTCGGAATAGGAGGACGTTTCTTTCGGAAGCCGAACGCATGGCTAGCGACCCCCAAGGCCTGAGGGAGTTAGTCGTGGAACATGTGAAAATTTTCATCGCCATGGCGCAATTTGAAACTTACTGCGGCGTTATCGGCCGGCTAACATGAGCAAATGATCATGCCAGCCCCCAGAAATGTACTCTGTACGCCGTACCCTAGTCGTCTATCTAGCTTCAACGCAGGGTGATGAGTGATTGATTCCTCTGTTCTGACCGCACACCTAATCTGCAAGTTTCGTAGCTTGTCGCATATATCAACAGGCCTTAGCCGCCGGACGTGTAAACGTTCGTTCATCATGGGCTGCTATTAGCGTGTCCTCTGCCAACGAGAGTTAGAACGTGATTCGGAATCTGCGCGTAAAGATCTGCAAAACCTCGAGCGTCTGCTCGGAAACCATGACATTGACAGGGACAGAAAAGTTATGGCCATATGTGGTTACGGCTTTTGCATACAGTGGCCGACCAAGTCGCTCCGGCAGGTAGTTCAAGACGTAGCTGAACAGGGTTGCACCTTGATTCTTTCTGGTCTTGGATTTATACTTCCTTGATTACGTAGTTTTCCTTCTTTTACGTGCGGCTCTCTTGTGGCCTCTGGCCGCAGCTCGAGCCTATAGCTTGTCCCTCACGCGGTGACTTCGTGGGCAGCCCCTCCCTTGGCCAGGGAGTGAATGACAGGGAGCTGTTTATCCAAGTCGATAGAGAACGAGATCGCGAAGCGACCTCGTTTGGAGAAATACAACTATTCATAGGCAAGGAGGGCCTCGACCTCAGCACACGGAGAAAAGCCCGCTTTCTGGACAGAGGGGACGTTCGAAGGGACGGGAAATGAAGTGGAAGAGATGAGGATCTCCATCCAGTTGAAGAGCCCAAAAAAGGGAAATTGGTTCGCCCACGGATGCGGACTGCTATTCTGACGCAAACGCAGAAGTCATTGTCGAGCAGAGAAGGTAGGCACGGAGATTTGGAAATTGAGATATGTAAAAGTGAATCGAAGATGAGTGGAAGGTGAGCGATGTTTAAAGCGGCGCCGGGGATTTGAGTGACCAGGTTGGGTGCGGCTGCGTTCGGTGTGGATTAGGCTAGTAGCCCGGCTTACATAAGGCGGCAAGGCTGCAGCCTTCAAACGAGGCTGGAATGCGTTGTTACTTCCGCCAATCACACGAATTCGAGAACGGGAGTCATAATCTTCTGCGGCCACTCACTTACTCCACCAACTTATTGAAAAATCCCCCTCTTCTACAACCGACCATACTGCTGAAATTCCAGTGAACATGGCGGTCGACTTCTCGGCCGAAGAGGCAAAGACGCTCAAGCGCTGGCGAGAAATCGACGCTTTTCAGACCCAGCTGCGTCTGTCCAAAGGAAACAAGCCGTACACCTTCTACGATGGCCCCCCATTCGCGACCGGCCTCCCCCACTATGGCCATTTACTGGCTTCCACCATAAAAGACATCATTCCGAGATACTGGTCAATGAAGGGCTTCTACGTGGAGAGGAGGTTCGGCTGGGACACGCATGGCCTGCCAATTGAGTACGAGATTGACAAGAAATTCAATATCTCTGGCCCGGCAGCAGTCAAAGAGATGGGAATTGCCAAATACAATGCCGAGTGCAAGGCAATCGTCATGAGATACGCGACAGAGTGGAGAGAGACGATTGACCGACTAGGTCGGTGGATCGATTTCGACAACGACTACAAGACCATGAATCCCAGCTTCATGGAGTCGGTGTGGTGGGCGTTTAAGCAGTTATTCGACCAAGGCCAAGTCTACCGCAGCTACAGAGTCATGCCCTTTTCGACAGCGCTGAGCACACCCCTCAGTCAGCATGAAGCTCAATCCAATTACAAGGATGCGCAAGACCCGGCCGTCGTGGTTGCTTTTCCGCTTGTGGAGGATTCGGACACCAGTTTGTTGGCATGGACAACGACACCGTGGACCCTGCCCTCGAACATTGGCTTGGCTGTCAATGGCGACTTCGAGTACATCAAGTTCCTCGATCAAGAGTCCGGCCGCCAATTCATCATGCTGGAGTCATTGTTACGGACACTTTACAAGGATCCCAAGAAGGCCAAGTTCAAGATCCTGCAGAAATTAAAGGGTTCCGATCTCAAGGGCAAGCAATATCTGCCACCCTTCGACTATTTCTACGACCAGTACAAGGACCGTGCTTTCAGGGTCTTGAATGCCTCCTATGTTACAGCGGATGACGGAACGGGCATTGTTCACCAAGCACCAGCATTTGGTGAGGAGGATTTTCGCGTGGCTATGGAGAATGGTATCATCAGCCACGACTATCTTCCCCCAAATCCTGTGGACGAAACGGGAAAATTCACCAAAGAAGTGACGGACTTTGCCGGTCAGCATGTGAAGGAAGCAGACAAGCATATCATTAAGCATTTGAAGGGCACTGGCCGAGTGATTCGAGATAGCCAGATAACCCATCAATATCCGTTCTGCTGGCGATCGGATACACCTCTCATATATCGCGCAGTATCAGGCTGGTTCGTCAATATTGCCGGTAACGACAAAGTGCCGAGTATCATCCCAGACATGCTTGACGGCATTGCGAAATCTCACTGGGTTCCCAACTTCGTCAAGGAGAAGCGGTTTGCGGACTGGATCAAGAATGCTCGTGATTGGAACATCTCGAGAAATCGGTACTGGGGTACTCCAATCCCGCTATGGGCGAATGAAGACTACTCCGAAGTCATTGCCATTGGAAGCATAGAGGAGCTGAAGACACTCAGTGGTTACGAGGGCGAAATCAATGATCTCCACCGTGACAAGGTTGACGACATCACCATCCCGAGCCAGAAAGGGAATGGGACCTTGCGAAGGGTGGAGGAAGTATTCGACTGCTGGTTCGAGTCGGGATCCATGCCCTACGCCTCAGCACATTACCCTTTCGAGAACTCCGACCACTTCGAGAATACATTTCCTGGTGACTTCATTGCCGAAGGCCTCGATCAAACTCGCGGTTGGTTCTACACTCTTGTCGTTTTGGGTGTCCAGCTCAAGAAGATGCTGCCCTTCAAGAACTGTGTCGTCAACGGCATCGTGCTAGCTGAGGATGGCAAGAAGATGTCCAAACGCCTCAAGAACTATCCCGATCCTACCAATGTCATCGACAAGTATGGAGCTGACGCTCTGCGACTGTACATGATAAATTCACCTGTTGTACGAGCCGAACCACTAAGATTCAAAGAGTCTGGAGTCAAGGAAATCGTGGCTAAGGTCTTGTTACCACTATGGAACAGCTACAAGTTCTTTGAGGGTCAAGTCGAGCTCTTGAAGAAGGTCGAGGGTATCGACTACGTATTTGATCCCAAGGCGGAAACGACCAACACGAACGTCATGGACAAATGGATATTGGCCAGCACTCAGTCACTGTTGAAATACATCAACGAAGAGATGGCAGCCTATCGATTGTATACCGTTGTGCCGGGCTTGCTCAACTTGATTGATGAGACCACAAACTGGTACATTCGTTTCAACCGAAAGAGACTGAAGGGTGAACTAGGTGTAGATGACACACTGCATGCGCTTAACACGCTCTTCGACGTCCTGTACACTCTTGTCCGAGGACTGGCACCTTTCACACCTTTCATCGCGGACCTCATCTACTCGAAACTCCTCCCGTTCATCCCCAAATCACTGTACGGCGAAGACATGCGAAGTGTACACTTCCTACCATTCCCGGAAGTCCGACAAGAACTCTTTGACCCTGTCATCGAGAGGAGAGTCGGCCGGATGCAGAAAGTCATCGAATTAGCCCGGCAGTCTCGCGAGCGAAGAACCATTGGGCTCAAGACACCACTGATGACTCTGGTCGTTATCCACAAGGATCAGCAGTATCTTGACGACGTGCAGTCTCTGGAAGGCTACATCACCGAGGAACTCAACGTACGCGACCTCGTCCTCTCTTCGGATGAAGAGAAGTACAACGTCCAATACAGTGTAACAGCAGACTGGCCTGTACTGGGCAAGAAACTGAAGAAGGACATGCAAAAGGTCAAGAAAGCGCTCCCGGACGTGACGAGCAATGATTGCAAGACATACCTCTCTGAAGGCAAGCTTCAGGTGGCGGGTATCGAACTGGTGGAGGGCGACCTCGTGGTGAGACGCAGCCTCAAAGAGTCCGAAACCTCCAAAGACCAGGAGACCAACACGGATAACGATGTCCTGACGATCCTCGACGTGGCTATCCATCCCGAACTTGCTCAGGAAGGTCTTGCTCGAGAAATCATCAACCGCGTCCAACAGCTTCGCAAGAAAGCGAACCTCAAGCCGACCGATGACGTCAAGATGGAATACAAGGTGCAGGACGATCCCGATCAGGTTGGTCTAGAGGAAGTGTTTGAGACCCAGGCAAGTTATATCGAAAAAGCGCTCAGACGACCAGTCGATAAGCATGTCGTCACCGAGATGGATGGGGTGATTGCGAACGGTGACGAGAAGGACGATGTCATTGTAGAAGAGGTACAGGAAGTGAACAAGGCGACATTCTTGTTGAGGTTGTTGAAGCTTTAGAGCCCTTGAGCAGTATACCACGAACACCACCATGGACGGTGCACGAAGGAAGAGATACTGCGGACGCAGGCTAGATTGCCTCTTTAAGGCTGATGTGTTGGTATGTGCCACAAAGGCCAGGCCAGGCCAGGCCAGACAGGGAAGATAAATACAGGAAGTCCATATCACGACTTTTTAGCATGTCTCTGTGATGCAAGGAGAATTAGCCAGATGCAAACGAAGAGCACGTAAAACAAAATGCAAGGACGAAGGTACGGAAGCCAGACATATCCCCCAAGCGGAATGAATAGGAGACCTCCAGCAATTGCCCTGTGGCACGTGCTGCCTTTCCCCATGAAGCTCTACTACAAAGAGCAGACAAGGTGGAATGGCAGTGTGCTCCGTAGGATGGAATGAAATGGAATGAAGAAACACCACAATCAGGACGAGACCCAAGCCAAGTGCACTTCACTTACAAGATAACAATCCTTCAACCTCATGAACTCCTTGGCGCACATGTCCTGGTATGTAGATTGGTAGTCCTTCAGGATACATTGCCCGTAGGCGGTGGCCTATGGTGCAGAAAGGGAAGACTGTCGGCATGGGATATCGAACGCGAGTTCCGAGTCGAGGGTTTGAAACATACCTCGATCGAACACTTTGCCGCCGCCGCGGCGAACTTCTCGATCGGCCTGGTGTGGCCTGACAGGGTGGGCATTTCGGGGCTGAACTGAATTCCGGTCGTCGTAGAGGTAGGAGGGGTAGAAATAATGGAAATGCTTGTCACAGGTTCACATTCTCGGGATCGCCGGGGTGTACTAGAATGGGTCGCTATCGCCTGTCGGAGATGAGTTGTGCTGGAGGACGGGATGCGATGGTGAAGCAGAATGAATGTTGACGCCGATGATTCTGTCCGGAGTGCATCTTCGCCGAGGAATGCGTGGCCGTAGTTGGTTGGGCGGAGCGCAGGAAGACCACATGCTTTTGTGCTCTGGTGCGTCACGTGCGTGTAGAGCAAGCATCTCTTGAAAAGCGCCCGTCGCGCCCAAAGAGCACCATCCTCCCTTATTGCTACACCCCATATATAAACAAGGTTCAATCCCGATGCTGGGCTCGATCTTCTCCTTCTCCCCTCAGATGCGCCTCGCATATCACTGCCTTGGCTGTCTTGAAGTTGCCGCCCTCGATCCTCCTCACCCCAATCACTCCATCTCGGCGGTACCTTCTGCCCAGGACCCGATCGATGGTAGTATCAATAGTGGTGAGGACTCCTTCGTGGCAGGGGCAAATATGCTAGCAAGTCCGCTTCAAGTACATCGGCTGATTTGGCCCGGGATGATTCCGGTCGTTCGCGGTACGTGCAAAGGCTCGCCGGCTTAAGGTAGGAGTGCGTGTACTGTGTATGCTGAAATGGGAAATTGATTCATAGGGACAATGAACTTTCACCTTCCATATCCCACCTCGATCAGGTCCGCCTTTGATGAACAAGTCTTCTGTTGGTGAGAACGTCTGGGTTCGTGCGTTGTCCGCGTCGTGAGCCTGGTGACTCACCACCAAAGGCACTCGCTTGTCTGAAGTGCGTTTGCGACTTTACTAAGCATAAAGCATCCTTCAACGCGCGTCGAGGCGGAAGGGCGGTATAACCTTCTAGACAAGCCAATCAACAACGCAGCCTCTCCATCAAAGCTCGTTTGCCACACTCCTCGGTAGATGAGGCTTAAACGTTCAACAGGCCCTTTGGTACGATTCGCGGCACATTCGCTCTGTCGGATCCGGACCGAGCATTCAAGTGTATCGCCTCCTACTTTCGCAACTCCTCGTCTGGAAGGCGGAGTCGTCCCGATACACACAAGGGACACGCGGAGATGGCACATCGTGGCGAAGCAAGCCCACGCACGACGCGCCGAAATGTGATACGGAGAATTGTCCGGACTCGAGTCTGGGAGGAATAAAACGAAATGTCCAGCTCGTGCAAAGGATTGAACTGACAAAGTACAAATTAGAGACTTGTTGACACCAGGACCTCCCCTAATCTGCAGCCTAGCAACGTTTCAAATCTATATGTCCCTCCCTATCCACAGGCAAATACACCGGATCAAAATAACAATGAACAAGTGGGCTCTCATTCTGCTTCTGCTGGCGAGCATCGTGTTCGCGGATATCCACATCCAGACGTTCATAGGCGATGCAAGCTGCGACGGCGAGGCGACCATCGACAAAGTGACAACGGCCGGCAACTCAGACAGCACCGCCTGCGTCTCAGCGGGCCGATACCTGGCCGTCAACGTCCTCAGCGCGGATCCAACCTTCCAGTGCAATTTCTACTCCGACGAGGCGTGCCAGGATCTCATCGGCACGCTCGACACCCCCGGCGTGTGCACGCTCTTGACAGGCACGAGCCTCACGTGCTTCACAACCAGTCAGCCGGCCGTTGTGGTGGTTCCTGGTTCTGCACCCGTGACGGCGCCGGCGCCCACAGCCAACCCCGTCGCCACGGTCTCGACAGGAAAGTCCCTCATCACGGTCGACCTGGGCGGCGCGGTGCTGGTCCAGTCGGGCGTGCAGACAAGCTGCGGCGCCACAGCCTGCGACCCGACCACCCCGTTAACGAAGCCCTTCCAGCACCTGAACGAGGACTGCACCCTCAGCGTCACAATGACAGGGTCGTACGACAACGCTGACGAGCGCGACTACATGAGCGGACTGATGCAGGCGGCCGTCACGCAGACGGACACAAACAGCAGGGTCGATACCACGGGGTCAGCCGAAGACGACGACCTGATTCTCGATTCCATCAGCTTTGCGTCCGTCGTGCTGAAGGGCAGTGACGACAACGCCATCCAAGCCCAGATGATGTATTCTGTCGGTGTGAGTTGCGTGCCGCCCGCAAACGCCGATTGCAACAGCTTGGAGCAGACCATTACCAGCGACCTTCTGAGCAAGGTACCCGGCGCGGGCGAGGTTCTGTCGACACTATTTGAGATTTTCGTCTGCGGGGAGTCATAAGTGTTCATAAGAGTCTTGCATGGAAATGTGTCCGGTTGCATGGGAGGGTTGTCGTCGGTGCATGTGTATACAGAAACAGATCGGACGGGAAAGCGCCGTGAGCGGCGAGGCCCCTATGGCCGCGCGCTGTCCTGAATATGCGGTGATTACCCGTTGCATTGGTAGTAGCTCAAGGGCCGCCACGTATGAGATGGCATCGCGGCTGTCGGGACTGATGAGATGTCGAGCAGAGGCTGTCGCTTGTCATCTGGACCGCACCTCTCTTGCTCTTTGGTGCCATTGGCGAAGGAGAGCCCTAAGTCGATGCTCCAGTAATTGCGCCCTATAATTGTTCAAACCAGATCCGCGTCTGAATCCATCCAATGCCCATTTGTACCATATCATTGCCCGATAGAATCGACCTTGGAATTCGAAAACCTCTGCCATGTTTGTAACGGTCTCTAAAGTCTTTGTGTTTCCTTCTCCGAGGAGTCGTCGCCTGCCACACAAGGCCTCTTCATACCATTTAAGCGACGCGACATATAACCCTTTTCGGCAATAGGATCCCCCTAACCAGTCGGCCAAAGTGAGTACAGCGTGATGCATAGCCCCGTAAACCTGTTTATAACCGTGATAAGTCTCCTCATGTAGCTTGATGGCCTCTTCAAGCCGACCGCTTTTGAAGTAAACGCTGGCGATATTACCTTTCACCTCCAGTGTTTTCGGATTGTCTTTCCCCAGTTGTTTCTCCCTTCCGCGGAGAGCTCGGTGCAGGAAACGAAGCGCCTCATCGTATCGCTCACAGTGCCTATACAAGTTGCCGAGATTCATGAGTGTTTCAAGAGTAGAGGGATGTTCCTCTCCCAGAGCTGCCTCCTTTTTCCCTAGCACATCCTGCAAGAGGTCGAGCGCCATTCCGTATTCTTTTTGTTCTTTATAAATCACAGCAATGTTGTTCCAGGTAGCGAGTGTTCTCTGATCTCGTTCGCCAAATTTCTCCCTCACCTGAGAGAGTGATGTTTCGTACCATGCCAAAGCCTGCTCCAGTGAACCCATGTTCTTGTGAATTATACCGATACTGTTGGCTATCTTGTTCGTTAATTCATGTTGCACACCAAGTTGAGTAATCGCTTCGGCATATAGCGTTTGGAACCCGGCCAATGCCTCGTGCAACTGGCCTTTGTTGAGCATGACTGTAAGAATACCGTCACGGCATTCAAAATTCGATTGTGTGGATACGTGTGTCGTTGTATTGAGTCCTTGCTTGAACCAGCGAATCGCCTGATCGGGTTGGCCGAACTGATCGCAGACTCGTCCGAGTATGAAGAACTCTTTTGCAGGGACAACACACGTCGTGCGCTGGAGGGCGTCATCCAGATGCCTTTGGCAACTATTAACATGCGCAAGCAATTGCCGATATGTAAGCCAATCTAGCTGGCGCTGCGACGACAACTCACGTGCAGCACCAGCAACAAGTAAGATCGCGCTGTCCAGATACGTTTGTCTTTGGAGTTTGGATAATCTTTGGCGAACGCATGTCTGAACGATTGTATGGATTGAGAACCCATCTCCAGCCTCGCGTTTTGCGAGAGAGAAGGAGAAGAGATTTCCCATGCCATCTTCCACGACCTGCGCCAGGGCGTCTACACCGTGTTAGTCGATCCCGTCTTGGAAATAACAAGCTACTTACCCATGCCCGCGGATTTGAAGCCAGACGTAAGCAGGTCTTCACTGATGTTCTCGCCAGCAAGGAACCCGCAAACCTGGAACATCGCAAACACATCAGGGTGTGATTTCTCAAACTCTTTGAAAGTCAAGTCCCAAGAGCTTAGCACTGTGTTATGGTAGGCCCACGTATTTGTCGGCGGTTTCCAGTCCAGCGTCTCTGCATTCTCTGTAAGGCGTGATAGGTATTTTGCGGCTTGCATCTTCCGAGCATGCATATGTGCTCCTGCTTGATCAATGGCTAAAGGTAGATTCCCCAGTACTCTCACGATTTCTTTCGCGGCCTTGAGTTCTGATTTTCCAGTCAGCCATAAGATTCCGTGGCCTTCGTGCACAGGATTTTACCTTCTGGGTTACAATCACCATAATCAGTCAATGAGCTTTTCGAAAGAAGTGACAACGAGGTTGCTTCCTCCATTAGTGGAAGATTGAAACTGCATCCGGCCCGAGCCAAGTCCTCCCTTCGGCTTGTGATCAGGACTACACCTGAACCGGCGTGAGGGATCAAGGACTCCATCCTCTCGTCGTCCAAGTCATCCCAACCGTCCAACAAGAGGAGCCAATTGCTATATTCCCTGCTGGTCAGCCGCTCTTTGACAGCGAAGACCGCTGCGGTACCGACGTCTTGGTTCTCGGGGCTCCAGGCTCCCCAGCTAGGCCTTCTGACGAGTCCGATCTTCTGTGCAATGGTGCAATAGCTCTTCACAGCAGATTCATAACTATGAGCCTTCACCCAGAAAACGGATGAGAAAACCTTTCGGTACCTATAAGCGTACTCGAGAATTGTTTGTGTCTTTCCGATACCGCCCATGCCATACACGGCACATCGAATACAATCGAATCCTTGGACCTGGCGAGAAGTAATTGCCGTATGGATATCTTGAACGATCTGATCTCTCCCGACAAAATTCATGTTCCTCGGCAACGGGATATGGATGGAGCCTTCACGATATCCGTCGATCTGATCTTTGAGCCGAATGTACGCGTGATCCTTTTCGCCATACAAAAGAGGCATGAATACACCGAAAATCCCTAGTAGACAATATGCCTTATCCTCTTTCCTTTTGGTTATCCGTTTCTCTGCCCACCGCATCCGCTCGTCAACACTGAAATCAGTTAAAGGAGAGCCGCGGAGAGCCGCGATGGGAATTTTGGTCACCTCGTGGATCTCTTGCTCAAGTGTATTCCGATCGCCCAGCAGTTCACGTTCTCGCGAAAAGAATTCGACTGATTTCGGGGCAAGTAGCTCTTGAAGTGTCCAGCCCCGTGTGAACCATCTGCTTTCTTTAAAGGCTGAGTCCTGCGTCCACTCAGATTCGCTGCTGTTGTCGCTACCAACCGACACGTCTGACAGGTACGCGTAGCACTTCTCGGCATCACGGTACCAGCTGAACATCGAGACAATCGCTTCCGAGAGCTCGGTATGGTTTGCTTTGTCGATGCAGCATGTATCCACCCAGAAGTACTGTAGACTGTCTCTCCGAGCTTGTTCGCCACAGAACTGAATCTTTTTATAGCCAAGCTTGCTCTTGCCAGATCCGTCCTTCAGATCGTTGAATGTGACTTCATCGTCCTCCGCTCCCCACGTATGGGAAAGGATCGCGTAGCGTGGAATATCTTCGATCAAGTAGCTGGTAAAGCTCAGCTCACCATCACTACTGAATTTCAAAAGGCGCATTGTGGTGGTTTCGAAAAGGCGCGTATTACATGGAAGAGAACAGCACGGCTTCCACTAGTGGATAAGGTCTGGTGAGATGTATGTCATGCGAGCTCCAGTGTCATAAGGGTGGCACATTGATTTGTCTGAAGAAAGGATGCAGGAGTGGGTAGGTCTTCCAACCAGGATCGTTTCGAGGCTGTAGTTTCGGTGCCAGTGTGTGAAAACATGCGTGTATGAATCCACAGCTGATATACCTTGTTGACGCCTTATGGGGGCACTGATCGTCCGGCCATGACCCCGAATGCGCGAAACAACGATAAGAGGTTATGTTGACGAATGCACGATCAGGCTGAAATGCGGCTGAGAGCGGGCAGGCAGAGGTCTCTGATGAGGCTCAAGAGGGGTAAGGACTAGCCTCCCGTCTCCACGTTCACTTACCACTTTGTCCCTACCTTGGCAGCACGGGGAATGAGCTCGTCCAGCCGCAGACAAAAATAGCGCCCCAGCAAACTGAGGTAAAACCTCAAGATTCTGAGGTGGTTCTTGCAGTTTTGCTAGGAATAGATGCAGATCCCTTCTACCCATAACGCACGACCAATCATAGCCGGGGATCTCCGAGCAATGTCGCGCCAAGCGTTATCCCTATAAGAATGCCGCACAGCTCATTTTGACCACCGTAACATGGAGCCTCGTATCAGCTACGGTGGCTCAAAGAGTCGGTGAGAGCACAATGATTACGGAGTACAACTCCTGTGTGCTCGTATGACGTAGTCAAACGTCATCGGCAAACCTCCACCGAACAGTACGAGCTATTTCGAGAAAACAGCAACATGTGAATGGCAACCTCCACATCGGATGCAATTCAGAGAGAAAGAGTCAGTTGGAGCCAAAGACAAGCGACGAAAGGTATTCTCGCGCCTCCAATCCGTATTTCTGCCAGTGTAAACTGAACTTGTCGATGTCTGCTGTCACTTCTTCAATTGCGTGACCCTTCAGTAAACACGTTGGCCTGTATCTTCCAGAACCCAGACCCGTGGTGTGACACTCGTCGTCCTTCTTACACCTGGAAACTACCTACCCTAGGTATCTCGAGGACATTCTCGCACTGATCCATCTCCAGACTTAAAACGTACACGGTAGGGCTTCCCTTCCCGTTCCCATCCCTCCCCCGAGCACCAACACAGCCCCCTGCACGACCTCTCTCTACTCTCCCCTTCTCTCATCAGCCACGACCACGCCGCCTCATCCACACAGCATCCTTACCCCCCACAAACTCCAACTCGCTCACATCTACACACCAGACCTGACAATCCACCGACAAAATGACCACTCCGAATACCACCAATTCCGCCAACCTGAACAACGCAAGCAATCTCCAAGCCACTGCGCCACCAGGTCAAGATTCCACCCCTGACCAAAGCTTTGGTGCCACGCCTTCAACAACGAATTACCAATCCACCAGCGCTGGGGACAAAACCTCCTACACTTCATCAGATCCCACCACGGCCCCGGGCGCCAGCTCCGCCAGCAAGATCGCCGGAGATCTGAAGGGAATGGCCCAGGGTGTAGCCGGATCTGTACAAGCCGCAGTGGGCACCACATTCGGCCAGAAAGGCATGGCAGACAAAGGGTTCGAGAAGATGTCTGAGGAAGACGCACGTTTAGCCGCCAAGTCTGGAAAACCACCCGTCGGGACAGAGCAGAGGAGTAAGGTCCTTGAGCCCGGGCAAGTCGGAGGGGCCGAGACGGGGAACAGGGTGTAATCAACCCATAGACCTGCGCTAGTCGTAATGATATAAAAAGGCTCAGTTGGCGGGAGGATAGCCTCGACGAGCCGTCATAGTGGACGTGAGAGCCAGACACGGAAACCAGCGGAGAACATGAGAGGAGGCCCCTACTACTGTAAGAGGAGCGGCGTCGCCTCTAATGACCAAGCCACAAACACCTCTATTAGACCGAAACTCTTCAGTTCTCTTTTCGTCGCCCCAGCATAAGGTGTTGCCCACGAAACACATCATACCCTGAATCAAAGTCGGGGTACTCGTCGGTGTTGCAATTGTGCCTCGCCTCGCTTTCCCCACATATCCTCACACGTACTCAAAGAGCGAACAAAAACGAATATACTTCCCTGTTGTGTGTGCATTGCTCATCATTCATGGTCCATTGTCCAGTGTCCACGGTTCGATATTTGATATCCCGGTGCTCGTATGATAGTAACGGTCTTACACCTACGCACTGTCATGACAACCACCACCCGCAACAAGAAACTATCATTGATCATTGGACATCTCATGCATATCATGCCTGGCTCACGCAGTAAGCTACAGTACACGCATTATCATCAGCAACATCATAACCATCAATTTTCGTCATCAAGAGACCCTGCTCTTCGTGTAGCGTCCTTTGAGGAATGAAACACAATGCCTGAGCAGCATGAGAAATCAGTGGTCAAGCCAGAGCATCGATAGCCCTGATGTGAAATCATTCGCTTTTGGTGCAGGCCGTATCGGTCATGCTATGTCGTGCTCTGCTAGCTCAAGCTCACAACGCACGAATGCGCACGACGAAGGAAAAAGGAACGCACAAACTCATGCTATGCACACGACCAGCTCATGCAGAAACGGAAATGCGACACTTTTCCCACCTGCCCCTGTTATGCCTTTTGTTTGCGGGGTATTATGAACAAGTTCGATCTCGCACCTCTGCGAGACTGTCTGTGTGGCTGGTATCAACGGACTTTCACTGGCCATGACAACACAATTTCAGTAGCCATCTCTTCATTCCTCGAAGAAGAATCCATCATCACCCGTCTTTTGGACCCCGCTCATTCTGTGCTCCTTTGTTCTGGAACGTGAGAGAGAATTTTCATCGACCCGGTCATCATACTGGTTGTCTCTTCCGCCAAAGCGTTCTTCCATTGTACTCTCGTCGACGAATGTGAAGCCCTGGAAGGCGTTCTGCATGGTAGGAGATAATGGCGTTGACTCGGCGGTTGCACCGGCAGCTAGAGCGGCTGCTCGAGCGTTGAGAGAAGATGACGTGTTGAGAGCATTTGTAAACTCCGGATCGAAGTTGGATGTGTCGGCAACTGAGGTTAACTTCGGCTTGAAAGGAGGGACTAGATTCTTCTTGCCCAGGGCATCCCAGTCAACGTCGGCGAAAAACGGATGTGCCATCAACTCCTCGGCGTCTCCGTTCGCACCAAGTCGGTGTCTCGGATTGCGGTTGAGTAGGCCTTTCACAAAGTTTCGACCCTCGGTGCTCAGTGCGTCTCTTGGGAACCGCACCTTGCCGAATGCAATGTTCTTATACATTTGCTGGGTGTCTTCGGCATAGAACGGGCTCCAACCACAACACATCTCAAAGACCAGGACGCCTAGTGACCAGAAATCAACCATTTTGGTGTACCCTTGCTCATCGAGCAACACTTCCGGAGCAAGATACTCGGTTGTTCCACAGAAAGTGTTCGTGGTGTCGTCCTGAGTCAAATTGGCCTTGGACAGTCCAAAATCGCACAGCGCAATGTGTCCGTTGGCATCGAGTAGGATGTTTTCGGGTTTGAGATCCCGGTAGACAATGTCAGATTGGTGAAGATGTTTCAGGGCTAGAATAAGTTCTGCGATATAGAACTTTGCCCGGTCCTCCTTGAATCGGCCTTCTTTCTGCAAATGCCAGAACAGCTCTCCTCCCGACATGAAGTCAGTTACCAAATAGAGGTCCGAAGGAGTCTGGAACGAGAATTTGAGACCGACAATGAACGGCGACTCTGTCGTGGCTGTCCGAACCAGGATATTCCGTTCTCCGATGGTATGCTGAATTTCTTTCTTTTGGATGATGACTTTCTTTGATAGCACTTTCATGGCATAAATCCGTCCAGTATCCTTCTTCCTGACCTGATAGACTTGACCAAAGGTTCCCTTCCCAATAAGTTTGAGGATTTGGAAGTCGTTGGGCCCGAAGTGCTTCTTTTCCACTTTCTGGAAGTGCATTTGAATGTGAATCTCGCCTGAGATGTCTTGGTCCTCGGCACTGCGAGGTTCCAGTCTGAAAAATCCTTCTAAAGTGGGATTTTGTTCTGTGAGCTTCAGACATAGCCGAACATGGCCCAAAAATGTTTCCGACTGGCGATCATAGACTGTAACATCAAGCTCTGACTGATCGCTGACAACGTCGCTAGAAACGAGTCAGTAACAGGCACAAGGAAGGCCAACAACCCCGGCGATGACTTACAACATGGCCTCGTGATCCCACTGAGGATCAGAGACTTTGCTCAGTCCCCTCTCCTCTCCATTACCATTCGTACTACTCTGGCGACTCTTCATAGGAATCGCCATCGGCTTACCCATGTCGCTGTCGGTCCGCCGAATTGGGACGGATGACAACTGGGAAACAGCTCCTTTTCGGTCATCCTCGTCGACATCCATTTTGTCATGTCTTGCTCCCTTGGAGACATATTCGTTCCACTCAAATTGGCACACCACATATGGATCGTATGATGGTTTGAGATTGCGTCCTTCGGCAATCTTGATACTCAGTTTTCCTCGTGGAGTGCTGCCCGTGGGTAGTTGATCTTTGAGCGGACGCTTCTGCTCGATCTGGGTGTGTCTATCACTGCTAGCTGTGCTTGTGCTGGACAGAGGGGACCGAGTATCGGCCCGACGGTAATCTTCTTGGGATAGGGCTCGGGGCGTGTGAGGAGGAGTACTCTTTTCACGCAGCGCAGGGGCCACGTTTGAAGTTAGCTCATCTGACTCTCTCAACTTTTCAGACGATGGAGGCTTAGCATGACTTGGAGAAGGGGACCTGGGGCTCTGTGTTCTCGAGGAATGAGTGGACGACGCAGGGTTTGAGATGTGTGCCGCGGAAACGGTGCTTCTCGTAACACTTGAGACGGGTAGAGACTGGTGGCGGCGATCCTTGACGCTATAAGTGGATTTGGGAAGCACAAAGTTCCTCAAAGCCTGCGTGATGGATGCGAGACCGCCGTCTAGCAGGGACCCGCCATTTTCCGCAGCCTCGCCGTCTCTGTTCACCATTGAAGCAGCGGATGAAATAGGTGTGGGTGGCAGTCGGAGAGGGTCGGTCTCAGGCATGAGTCGTAGAGACTCTGGGTGCGGCTCATCCGGTGGTGGTGTTGGAACTGAGAGCTGTTCCCGCTCCACCATCACCATCGAGCCTATAGAGGCGGTTGACACCCTCCTGCTCTTGCCCTTCCCTTCCTCCTCTTTCTGAGATGAAGATGCATTTTGTTCACTTGCTTGATGCTCAGGGAGTGTGCCAGCTTGAGATGACCATGACGGTGTAATCTGAGAGGGATCTCTACCCACCTGGCCAAAGTAGCTGTGCATAATACCTGGGAGCCGCTTGTCGTGGAGGTCAGGCCGCGGTGTCTCCACACCGGAAGGAGTCGGTGAATTCGATCCAACGAGGTCGTGGAAGTCTTCATGTCGGTGTTCGTGTCGCGCACTGCTGCTTGGTGGGTCAGCAAAGGACATCAATGGGTTCACGCTTGCAGACAGAGCATCGCCTGAAGATTGTACGCGACCACTTCCTGCCTGGACCGGTCGAGACATTTTGCTGCCCCACGATGCTCCTCCACCTTCAGCACAGCAACTTTGAAATCCGACACAGTTCAAAGGCTCAAAGTGTCTAAACGTACAATGACACAGCCGTTTTCCCAACTTCCCAGACCCGAGGCTGGAGAAGATCAAACCCCACCATCCAGGGAGACAGTCATACATGGTTCGTCACAAAACGAAGCTCGTATGGACTAAGGAAAAGATCGGGACGTACTTTTGTGCCATGGCTTGTCTTAACAGATCTGCAGCTGCAGTTGGGTTTGCGTTGAGACCGGCCTGCGCCATGTTGGCCGCCTCACTATTGAGTTCCCTTCTCTTTCAACGAAATGACAACTTTTGTCCAAGAGGTTGTCAGTCAAGTGTCGCCGCGCTCACCCGTTGGAGCGAGGGGAGCTGGTTCCTGAGTTTCCCGGGCGCAGGCTCAAATGCAAATGACGGAACTGCTGCAGAAGTTGGAGAAATTCGGGATCTCGGTCGGCAAGGATTGCAGGTCCTACTTCGGAGACCTATCCCAAGTTCCTGAAATCCAAGAACGGCGACCAATCGCACAATCGGTGGAGGTGAAGGTGGGAATGCGAACTTGTCTGGCCAAGTATCGAATTGTGCCAAAGCGTGGTATCGACGGTGAGCTCGACAGGAGCGGGCACTGGTGATATAATCGAGCTGCAGGCGAGGGACAAAAATTGTCACTTGGAGAATTCGGCGGGCCCAGGCCAGGAGGGTTAAGGGCTGCAAGGGTACGAGGTATTGTGTGTATGTGGCTCGCCAGTGAACGGGAGAAGGGATGCCACTGAGTGGGAGGAGAGGTGGGATGCGGGAAGTGGACTGAAGATGGCAAAATTTGAGGTAGCAGCGAGTGAGAATAAAAGCTAAAATAACAGGGGTTCTGGGGGCGTAGAGATGCCTGAATAAATGGTTGGCGGTCGCCCGTGATCATATCTTCGAGCAATAAGAAGAAATCGAACAGAAATCGGGGTGTTTATGAGAATGCAACAAGCTGAACCGCTGCTCCGAAAAAGAGGGTTATTCGCGGGCGAGTCCCCAGTCTCGGGCTCCTCCAAGCAGCAGCCCAATCGCCCGCTCCGAATCTACGATATATCGATTCATTCGATGATCGATAGGTCCTTTGGAGTGGGATTTGGCGTCGGGCGGACACAAGCCAGAAGCATGTCATTCATAATGCC